AGCAAAAAAGCAAAACAAGTGAAAACTAGGAAACCTAAAAATGTGGACAATGGCCAAATAAAATACACTGTGCTAAATTTATTCACTGAAATATTATACAATAGGTAACATGAACAAGTCAATTCTAAAAATGTATCAACACAGATATACTTAAAATGTGGTATATAGAGTAGGGTTTTCCCCCTACTCTTTGTTTTTGGCAAACCGCAAACAAAATGTATAGCACGACAGAGAAATGGATAGGCACATGTTTATTATAAAAGCAAAAAACAATGAGAAGGACAAAAGCAACCCTGAGAGAGCAGTTATCTCTGAGGAAGATGAAAAAGAAATAAGCGAGGGTGGGGAGAAAAGGGTCTTTCAGTTGTCTCTAAAATATTTAATTGCATTTCATTTTTCTAAAAACTCCTTTTAAGGAAAACAGGTTGGAAGAGTGAAAATTTGGGTTATTTCCAGATAAAGATGAAAAACACCCTTTAACACTTATTTATAAGAGTCTCCGTCTTCACTCAGTCTCCTTTGCCACCAACACCAACAAAGGCTAAAGCCCGCCCCCCTTCCTGTCCCAGGGCCATTAGTTACCAAAGGCCCCTGACAGGTGACAGCACATCGCCAAGCAGCTCCCAGGAAGGCCGGCCCAAACTGCAATGTGTTCATGCAATGATTCGGATACATTTTCTAAATGTACCAATTTCAGCTGTACACAGCTGAAAGCCAGGCAGTCTGTAACTGGTTGGCAGGCAGGCTGGCAAAAGACTCATTTCAGCCTCCTGGGTGAGAAAATAAAAATGCATGGGCTCTACACCCAAACATTAGAGCACACGTTCACTTTAAGGCACAATCAAAAAATCCAGACCGTAAGTCGTTTTCTCAAGGGCACAGAAATAACAGAGCACAGAAACAAAACAATAGCAATGTCAATAAGTACTAATTATTCCATAAAGACAAATATTACCATTACACTAAGGATTATGCAATAAGTATGTTTGTAAGTATAGAGTAAGTTTAAAACCCCTCAAAAAAAAAAAAACTCAAACAAGCAAAATTATATATTAAAATCATTTCAACTCTCCTTAGATTCAACTGATACTGTGACTAAAGGTGTCATGTTTTGTAGCCCCATAACCAGAAGTGTGAATTTAGCTTTTTGATAGAAGAATTAGCTTGTTTTGACACATTAAATGATTCTTACCAATAAAACTTATGATGCAAAAACCATTATTTTAAACACTAAATAGTTTAGACTATTGCGATACTTTGGTCCAATGTTAGCCTTTCTTAACAGTCTCAAAATTAATAATGGTCAAAAATTTGGACAGATTTGTGTCATTAAATGGCCTTCACTATTGTTCACAGAATAAAGCCCTTAATTGATTAATGATCGCAGGGTGTCTATCGCCATCTAGTGAACGATCACTTCAATTACCACACCAGTCACTACAACTGAGTCCGTTTTCTTGGTGGTTCAAAATGTGGTTCAAAATATATGTCCACTTAGTGCTATCACCTTGCCCAATATCCTTTTTATGCCTCTCTATACATACATTGAGAACACACACAATTTATATAGATTCACTTTTGAGTGTCTCTAAGTTTCCATATTACCTCTCTGGAAACAGCAACTTCATTTAAAAAAAAAAAATAACTTGCACACTGTCACGTCCCTCATACAATTTCCTTAACCATTAACTAAATCAAAAATCACAGAACAGTTTAAGAGTGAAAGATCACACCTGGGAAAAGACAATATTGATGTCCACTTGACACAACTGAGCATTTTTATAGTAAACCTGTTTTTAAAAGTACAATTAGTAATTACTCTGAACACTCTAGCAGCCATAATACATTTGATTACAGAAATTATTAGGTCACCAGAGCCAAAGCTGCATAATTCTGACAAAACTGAACACATGCAAACTAGACTTAAAAATAAAAAGGGAGGGGCACTTCAAGGCCTCCCAAGACTGTGTATTAATCCATATACAAATGGAAGATTTTATCATCTTTTCCGATGACATGCTACTAAGTTCCCTTCTCATTAATTTCCACTTGAACCTTAATCTAATTTATCCTACAAGGACTTTAAAAGGAAACAACTTACAGGTTCATCAAGTTATACGTTATTTTGTCCCTCCATCTTATTACAAAGAAAGGCCAGACTGATAAAGTTACAAAGGTATTTCAAAATCTCAGCAAACTGACTCTCATTTTACACATCACTCTTTCTGCTTCTCTCATAATCAAGAGATGCTTGAAATCACAAAGGCCTGGCCATATATAGAAAACACTAGTAAACCCAAGGACAGATTATGACATAGAATATTCATTCTGCCATTGTTAACAATTATCACCAACATCTTAACAACCGTTTTTATTTTAGGAAATAATCTCTCTAAGTGGCTTTGAATCTTCTAGAATAAGATTTCCAGGGAGCAACTGTATCCCTATTATTTCTCATTAATCTCACATTACTTTAAAGGACCACCTTCCACAGTTGTTGTGTTTATAATTTGTGGGAAGGAGCAAAGGGGAAAGAGAAAACGGGGAAATAGAAACCAAGAATTTAAATCACACACACTTATTTCTAGATTTGTCTGAAAAAAATTTTTTTAAGTGGGGAAAAGCAGGGTTTTTTATAGTTTATTAAGATTTGTTATTGTGATATTTTATACAATGGAAAAGTAAAAACTGAGTTTAAAATCCAGCTAAATGAAAATATTGCCCATAAAGTACAATGGATTAGGGGAGTGGGGGAGATCGCTGGACAAATTTGGGGCTTATCATTATCAACAGTGCCCTTTTAAGCTTGTGGATTTCTGAGCCAATGCAGAAAATGTAACTACAGGGATTTCCCAACAGCAAGAGGCACCCTCCAAGGGAGTAAATTGTCAACTATTGCCTCTCGTGAGAAACTTAAGAGTAACCTTGATCCAATCTCAATAGTCAACCCATGTATTATCACCCAGTTGGGGCATAGTGAGTGCATTTCCTAATACAAAAATAAGATGGTATTCTATCAAAGCCACTGGATACAGATACAGAAATAAAATTTAAATAATTTTAAAATAAACTTAGCTTAAGAAACTGAAAACATCCTTCCCTCACTTCAACTAGTAAAAAAGACCTGTGTCTTGAGATGAGTATCAAAAAAGATGATCTTCCAGGAATAAGATGTAGAATATAAAGCCGAAGTACAGTCATGAAAACACCCTGAGATGGGGCAGACAACCCTCATGCAGGAAAAGCCTTACAATCAGGAAGATGTGTATTCCAATTCCAAACAGTCACTTACTAGACTGCACCTCTTTGAGCTGATCTTTCTCATCTGCAAAATGGAAACAGTATTACCTGTATCAACGGATTCTTGTGGGTTTGAATGAAATAATGCATCCAAAAAACCTCTCGCATGTTGCCGGTGTCCAGTACATGTTTTGCCCTTCCTCCACGCGCGCTAAGCCAAGTCTTTGACAGAAGGCTGCCAACGGAAGGGCAACTCTGAACATCCTGTGTGTTTCATGCCAGCTATGTCTGTGCAACCCACTACAGTAGCCACTAGCTACGTATGGCAATTTAGAGTTAAGTTTATTATAATTATCATTAAATAAAACAGAAAATCCGTTTCCTCAGCTAGGTGGCACTAGCCTGATAGTAAGTGCTCACTAGCCCCTTGTGCCTGGCAGCTATTGTATCGGACAGTGCGGAAGATGGAGAACGCTTTCATCATCTCAAAGTTCTACTGGACAGGGCTGAGCTGGACTCTTAAGCAGGGTCAGCAAACTTATTTTTCTGAAAAGGGCCAGCAAGTAAATATATTTAGGCTTTTGCAGGCCATGCGAGTCTCCATCTTGACTACTCAACTCTACTGTTGTAATTAACATAAAAGCAGCCACAGGCAATACATAAAGGAATGGGAGTGGCTGTGATCCAAAAAAAATTTTACTTAAAAATTAGATGGCAGACTGGATTTGGCCCACAGGCTGTATTGCCAAACCATGCTCTAGAGTGTTCTGAACCCAGACTCCCCACACAAGGATTCTGCCCATACCCACTAACTACCTTCTTAAGACTAACAGTCTTAAACCTAGTGACAGGAATCAATAATTTACTAGAGTTAAAAGGAATTAGTATTTCATGCAACTATTCTTTTACAAATTAGGAAAAACCCATACACACAGTGCTAAAGCAGATGGAGCTTACAGTGTCAAATCTATTGTTATCTGGCCCATCTTCCTAAAGCAAGTGACTCTCAATCTGTAGCGTAGGGGTCTTTACAAATTTCAAAGGTAACATAGACAAGACAGAACTTTTAATCTCTCTCTTCTAGATTTCTCCATCTTAGGAAATGGGTCCACTAGCTAACCAGTTATACACCAAAAGCACAGGCATCCTCCTTGATTTCTTCCTCCCCTCCACAATCTGACCTAATATGACAGTTTAAAAAAAAACAGCTGTCTTATGTCACTTAGCTCTCATTCTTGCTACTTCCTAAAGCCTTCCCTAACCAATCTAAATTAGCCATCTTAACTAATCTAGCACCTTGTTTTATTATCTGCACAGCATTTACTTCTATCGTATTGTCTTAGTTATTTTTCTGAATTTATTTATTCACTTATTTATATAGTATATTTTCCCAAACTATTCTGTCCCCAACCCAAGTCCCCACCACATGCACCTCTACACCCCCTGCCCTGGTGAAATGTGAGCCTCAGGATACAGGAACCTTTTGTTTTGCATGACACTCTATCCCCAGTGCCTACAACGTCTGGCATATAGATGCTCAATAAATACACACATAAACACACACACACACTCTCTCACTCTCTCTCTCACCTAATAGATGAAAGGATCACTATCTAAAAGCCCATCTCTCTCAAATTTGTCCTAAACAAAAGGGAGTTCTTGAAGTTGTATAACTACGCAACAAGCTTGGTTCTCCCACATTAAAACATGTATAGTTAAGACACTTCCATTTTTAGAGATGTGAATGTTACACCATTTACCTCCCTTCCTTTGTATGTCACCAAAGCAGCCAGTGGTTTGGCGTAAAATCTGCTGTAGGAAAATCCCAGGCAGCCGTACATACTGTTTGCCGTGAGCTTCAAAGCCTTCTGTCGAATGTCATACTGCAGGCCACACAAGGACAAAAGACAAACAATAATATTCGCAGGTACTTATGCATTACACGAGATGTCTTTCTAAATGACCAGCAAGAAGGAGAAACCTTCAATATCCCTGAAGAAAAGAACTCTTCACACACCCAACACGCCCTCCCAGAGCCATGACTCCCTGACTTCCTAGAAGCAAGTAAACACAAACCCCGAAGCTCCTGAAGTCAGAAGAATCTTGCTCAAATACAGCTTTGCAGACAGAGGCACCTTCCATTTTGAGGCACTCTTGTGTTTTTGAATGGTTTCCTACCCACAAATGTAAAATAGGCACTCATGCATTTGCCCACAGCATCATGTTTAAATCATTCCCAGATAATCAAATTCTAAAAGCTGAGACTGTCACTCGGATGTCTCTTAGTGAAGTTATACCTGAAGAAAAAGGTCTGGATTTAAATCTTGCTGCTTCATGAGTTGTTTGACTTGTTTTCTCCGCTCTACCAGTTTCCGGATCTCTCTGGGCAAAATGCCCATTTCTAAGTCTGGATCTGGCAGCTCAGGGATCTGTTCTTGTTCTTCATCCTGATGAACACACAACAGAAATTTCAGACAAATCAAACTTTCGTTAAATAAATTTCTAAAATATTTTGCGGGAGCTTTACCCCATGATCACATCTTGAAAAAACTACTTGTACAGTAAAGGTCTACAATGCATGAGCGGTAAAGAAAGAGCAGAGAAGGCTGCAGAATAAGCCAGTACTGCCCAGTACCTCCCACCCCTCTAGGTAATGACAAATGTAGGTATCAGTAGATATCATTTAAAGGTGTGAATTTTTACACATGCTCCTCTCTTCTCGTCTACAAGATTGGGGAGAAACATGTTTGGAGAAATAGTTTTTAAAATAAAAACACTAAAAGAGAGACCTCTAGGATTAAAAAAAACAAAACAAAACAAAACAGCAACTAAACTGTTTTAGGTCATGTGTACTACCAGACAAAATGCTGTAATTTCTATGGAAAATAACAGCAATTACTATAAATGTTTTCGACTAAAAATACAAGTCTAAATACTAAATCAGCAAATTTCTTTTAGGAATTAGGAACACATATTTAAATAGGTCATGGCATTTCTGAAAATTAACACGTACAGTGGTTGGGCAAAAGTACGTTTACAGTGTGAGTATATGAAACAGTCTATTCTTGTATTATTATTTATTAATTATTGTATTATTTTCCATACAACTGTACACCCACTTTTCCCCACCCCTGTATATTCCTTAGCATATATGTGGTACCTTTTATCTATAAATTGCTTAGGAATCAGTAGCAGAATAGCAACATTTTAGAAAAGCAACCAGTAGCCTGCTTATATTAAGATTTACAGCAGGAAAAAGCAGGGAAAGCATTAGACCATTTTTCTCAAGCCTCCATTAGCTCTATTAACAGACTGCAAACAAAAGCCAGGCACATTTGCCCTTTCAAGGATTCAGAATTAAAAATAAACCTCTTCGTTTAAAGTATGTCAAATCCATGCCACCTGATAACTCAGCTTTTTACAAAATATCTAATTTTAGAAAGATCGATAATTTCCAATGAACAATCTTACAATAGTAGCAGGGACTTATTGTTTTCCAATATAGCAAATGATGGTAACAAACCTATTAAAGAGATCTTGATATACATTCCAATTTATCTACAGCAACTACGGAGGTCAGATAAAGCAAATTGAAAGGATTTGGAGTCAGGAAATGTATAATCCATGCCCGGCTCAACCACCACTAGCAATGTGGCACTAGCTGCTCTGAAGACCAAATGACTGTACAGAAAACGAGACGGAACCTAAAAATTGCTGCATGTATAGTATTTCGTAGGTGACCTTTAAGGCCCCTTCCAACTCTGAAATGATTCTATTATAGATCCAGAATCCAAACTGGAAAGCTCAAATAAAACAGTGTTGGGGGAGGAGGAGTGCTAATCATGACCATTATCACAATGCTGACACCGTGGCAGGGCAGAGCCCAGAGCACATTATTAATCAGATGCAGTCACTACCTTTTGAGGATGTCTACCTAATACTGTCTCTGTAAAATGATCCTCTAACCCCATAGAAAGGCCCATCCTTAGTAGACATGTTTGTAGTCTATGAACCAACTCCTGTGGCCACAGTTAATGGGACCGGGCAGGCTAGGCAACCCTGTAAGGTTCTCTCTGCTGGGCATGCGGAGAAGTACGGGGCTGAAAAACAGCTCCCATGCACGTGGGCGGAACTAAAAGACATGTAAATTCAGGAGCTAGAAAGCAAGCAGACATCTGCCACAGGTACAAAGCAGCAGAGAAAAACAATGCACAAAGATAGTGTGTTAATTTGTTTTTTACTGCTAGAGAATTAAATCTAACCAATTTCCCTACTAAAAGTCAAGTGTAGAAGCTTTATATATAAATTATTAAGCTCTAAACAAAACTGTTGACTGAAGGATCACTGGTGAGATTGAAATCCATGTGAGAGAATTCAAAAAGATTATTTTAAAAAGGTTGTTTAGTGAGTAGAATCATTAAGCAATGCTTTCATGGAAAAAATTTAAAAGGCTGAAAATACCAAGTGTTGAAGACGATGGGGAAGAACTCACACACATGGCTGACAGGAGTGTAAAATGGCACAACTACTTAGGAAAACAATTGACAGGTTCTTTTCAAATTAAACACACACTTCCTATACAAACCCACTTACTCCCTAGATATTGACCCCCTCCCGAAATGAAAGCACAAATCCACAAAAAGATCTGTACAAGAATATTCACAGCAGCTTTATTAATAATAGTCAAAAACTGAAGACAATCCAAATGCTCATCTCGAGAGAAGTATGGGATATTCTTTAGCAGTAGAAAGAAAAGAACTGCTGATAATGAAGCAACATGGATGAATCTCAAAACCATTATGTTGAACAAAAAAGCCAGCCACAAAAGAGTACACGCTGTATCACTCCATTTACATGAAGCTCTAGAACAGGCAAAATTAAGCTATGGTGATAGAAGTCAGATCAATGGTTGACATACGGGAGAGGGGACTGACATACCAACACTCATGGATGAAGCTAGAGCGGTGCTCATAGGAAAATTTATAATTGTAAATATTTCTATTACAACAGAAGATCTGAAATCAATAACCTAAACTTCCACCTTAAGCAACTAGAAAAAGAAGAGCAAACTAAGCCAAATAAAGCAGAGAAAAGAATAAAGATTATAGCAGAAACAAATGAAATAAGAGAACAAAGAAGCAATAGAGAAATCAAGAAAACCAAAGGTACTTCTTTGAAAAGGCCAATAAAATTGACAAACTTTTGACTATAGTGATAAAGAAAAAAAGAACAAACTACTAAAATCAGGAATAAAAGAGGGACATCACTGCTGATCTTAAAGAAGTAACAATGGTTATAAAGGAATACTATGAACAATTCTATACCAACAAATCAGATAATCTACATGAAATGGAGAAATTCCTAGAAAGACATACACAACTGAAACTGAACTCTACCAAGTAGTTAAATAATTAACACGAATCCCTCACAAACAAGACCAAAAAAGAAGAAGAAAAAGAAGAAGAGGAGGAGGAGGAGGAAGAGGAAAAGAGAGAGAGAAGAGAAAGGATGGAAAAGGGAAGGAAGGGGAAGGAGGGGGAAGAGTAAAGGAAAAAAGGGAAGGGAAAGGAAGGAACACTTTCCAACTCATTCTATGTTGCTGGTATTACCCTAATATCAAAACCAAAGACATGAGAAAAGAGAACTGCACATCAACAGCCCTTACAAATCCAGACAAAAAACTCCTTAGCAAAATCGAATCCAACAACACAGAAAAAAAAAAATCATACACCACCAAGACCAAATGGCATTTATCCAAGAAATGCAGGTTGGTACAATACCCTTTTGTGATAAACACACTCAATAAACTAGAATAAACTAGGAACAGAAGGGAGCTCCCTCAACCTGAGAAACGACACCTATGGAAAAGCCACAGCTAGCAGCATACTTAACGGTGAAAGACTATATGCTGTCACCAAAGATCAGGAACAAGACATGGGTGTCCACTCTTGCACTTCTATTTAACATTGTACTGGAGGTTCTAGTTAGGGCAATTGGGCAAGGAAAAGAAATAGAAGGCATCCCGATAGGAAAGAAAAATTAAAACAATCTTTATTCACAGACGACATGATTCTGTATACAGAAAATCCTAAGGAATCCACAAAACTGTTAGAACTAATAAATGAGTTCAGCAAGGTTGCAGGATACAAGATGAACATACAAAAATCAGTTATTTTTCTATACGCCAGCAATGAACAATATAAAAATGAAATTAAGACAATTAATTTATAGTAACACCAAAAAGGATGAAATATTTAGGAATAAACTAAATTTTAATAAGTGTAAGAACTGTACAAAGAAAACTAGAAAACATCATTGAAATAAATCAAATATCTAAATAAATGAAAAGACCCAATTTTCATGGATTGGAAAACTCAACATTGTTAAGATGACAATACGCCCCAAACTGATCTATAGATCCAGTACAATTCCTATTAAAATCCTAACAGCTATTTTTGCATAAATCAAAAAGATGATTCTAAAATAAACAAAATGTGATACGCTCCCATACAATGAAATATTCAGCAATAAAAAGGAATGAAATACTAATACATGCTACAACACAGATAAATCTTGAAAACAGTATGCTAAATGAAATAAGCCAGACACGACCCTGGCTGGTGCAGCTCAGTGGATTGAGTGCCAGCCTGGGAACCAAAGGATCGCCAGTTTGATTCCCAGTCAGGGCACATGCCTGGGTTGGGGGCCAGGTCCCCAGCAGGGGGCGCACGAGAGGCAACCACGCATTGATGTTTCTCTTACTCTCTCCTTCCCCTGCCCTCTCTCTAATAAATAAATAAAATTTTAAAAAAAGACAGAAGCCAGACACGAAAGATCACATATGATATGTGCAAAATACACAAATCTACAGAAGCAGAAAGAGTAGTGGTTGCCTGGACCTGGGAGGGGTGAAGGGAACGACAGAAGTTACAACTAAAAGGTAGGGGGGTTTCGGAGAGTAATGAATGTCCTAATATAAACTACGGTGAAGGTTACAAACTCTGTGAATACACTACAGCCATTAAATTGTACACTTTCAATACGTGAATTGTATGGTATGTCAATTACATTTCTATAAAGCTGTTAAATAAAAAAGGCACAAAACTACTCTGAGTTTCCTTCTAATCAACCCTCCCCCTTTTCTGACCACTAAGAAAGGACATAATGCACCTTTTAAGAGAGAAAACTAAACGCTAACCCCCTTGGTTCTCTTCTTTAAGAACTACTTTTAATCTCAGTTTCAAGAACCCCCAGTTGAACACAAACCTCTGTAACTTTCTGTGTCTCTGAAGCAACTCTTTGCACTGTTGTAAAACAAATGTTGAACTCTTGAATGATGGAAGGATATAAACTGTTGAAGTCCAGAAGCAAAATGAACTTATCATAAAAACCTGCAATGAAAAAGCCACGTTACAAAAAGTCTTTTAAAAAAGCAGATTTGTCAAAACATTACATTAGAAGCACTAAACTCTGACGTGCATCAGAAACAGTATACTATCCAGAGCTGTGAAGTAGCTGAAAGGTAAAAAGGAGTCGGCTCTACCACTCTACAAAAATGACTTGGACTAGAGTGAAAACTGGTCACAAGAGATCCTCTCTCACCTTGAAACCAGCTACAACTGGTCCCTTCTCCAGAAGTTCCCAAAGTACACCATTATGACAGGCAAATACCTTCCCATATCAATTACCACTAGACAGGTGTCATATTTGTTTTAAAAAAATGTTGTTAAAAATTCTCCAAGCAAGCATTCCCTCCCACCTCTGCTCCAAAAATATTTAGTAAGCTCTACCAGTGAGTGGTTATATACATATTTTTACAATCACACCTTCAAAGAATAAAAGGAGCAACTCACTTACCTGTACACAAACAGTGCTAAAATCAGACAAGAGATGCATATGTCAGTAGTGGAACGATCCACCCTTTTTACTTGCAAAGAGTGAACAGAAAGCTACTATATTTCTCTAGGACATTTACAAAGAGTTTTCTTCACCTTAAGAAGAAACCGAATAAAAGTAAATGTCCACTAGTAAGACAATAACGACAACAGCAAACATATTAAAAGCTTACTCCGTGTCAGGCATTATACTAAACAATCACTTTTACTCCTTAAATCTCTGTGGTAGATATTATTCTTATCTCCATTTTACAGAAGAGGAAACTAATGTTTATAGAGGTTAAACGGGAAGCCCAAGACTACAATGCCAGAACTTAAGCCCTGATCTATCTAACACCAAAGGACAACTGGACTATTTATCTGTTTCATTACAACTGATTAATTTAAAATGCTTCTGCCCTGGCTGGTGTGGCTCAGTGGAGTGCTGGCCTGCAAACCAAAGGGTCACCAGTTCGATTCCCAGTCAGAGCACATGCCTGGGTTGCAGGCCAGGTCTCCAGTCGGGGGACACATGAGAGGCAACCACACATTGATGTTTCTCTCCCTTTCTTTCTCCCTCCCTTCCCCTCTCTGTAAAAATAAATAAAATCTTTTAAAAAATAAAATAAAATGTCTCCTACTCAGAGTTCAAGTTACTGATAAAATTCACATTAACTCTTGCACAACAAAGTGAATATACTTAACACCACTCATCTGCACACTTAAAAATGATTAAGATGCAAAAAAAAAAAACAAACAAACAAACCCATTTTCTACTCTATGTACCACAAAACATCTTCTTTCCTACTCAGAACAGAGAAAAGTTATTCTCCTGTAATAACAGAAGTTAGGTTTGGTGGTTACTGTCTAAGCTTTGTTTGATTTTGCTGTCCAATATAAAATAATGTTATTATGAGACCTATTTGCTACTCTATAAAATGTAAGCCATGTCTTCTACTTTCTCAAGCCTAGTTCTGCATTAAGAAATTCCTTAACACCAGGGCAAGCCAATTCAATGCCCAACCTTACCAACTTTAGGATCCAATACCAAGCCTCCGGCATAAGCTGCTTTCTTACGTCCTTTCTTGTATTTACTGGCATCTCCATCAATGTCTTCATCTTCATCTCCCTAATATCAAATGGAGAGAACTTCACCAGACAGCAACTAATTCTCTAATTAAGAAGTTTTATGATCCCCTCCCCTTTCCAAATGCAGTATATGGTTTTAACAAACATTCTTTACTTTTAGTTAATGGTTCTACCTGTGGGGAAAGACAGTTATTGTAATATGTTCATGAAGCTAAATGAACATCAAGCACGATAGTTACCGAAACAAATGCTGTATCACAGAGCTAATAAATATGCAAATTTTACTTTAAAATGTTTCTGAATTCATAGAACCTCACTTTTTAAAATCAATGGATACTAGAAGTACAACTCTTCATTTTATGTAAAAAATTGGGATTATAGAAGAGTCCCCTTAAATTTATAACATTCATGATGTAAAAATATAAAATTATTTCATATAGCTATTAACATTATTCTCATGATTAATATGAACCCCTTAAATAAGTAGGTCCAGCCCTGGCTGGTGTGGCTCAGTTGGTTGGAGTGCCATCCCTGTAGACTAAAACATTGCCAGTTCGATCCCTGGTTGGGGCGTGTACAGGAAGGCAATTACTGTTTCTCACTCACATCGATGTTTCTTTCTTTCTTTCTCCCTCCCTCCCTCCCTCTCCCTTTCTCTCCCTGTCCCTCCCCCCCCCCCTCTAAAAGCAATAAAAAAAGGTCTTTGGGTGAGGCTAAAATAACTAAATAACCAACTAAATAAATAAATAAGTCCATACTGAAAATTTATTCCTAAGTAGTTAATTGTCAACATTCAATGCCTCAGCAGAAGCAAATTTCTGTAAGGTAATAGTCTCTATACCAATTGTGATAATGTACATAAAACAATACAAGAACCTGAATCATTTTAACATTAAATTCCCATTCTGAATCCATTGCTATCAGTGCCAATGGAACGATAGCTAAGTTTTAGTTCCATTGTGATGGAGGCCACTTCAGAAACCCAATTGTGGAGACCTTAATACTACTACTATGTAAAAATGCAACAATGTAGCACAAAAATAAAGGCTCATGGGTTTAAGGAAATAAAAGATTTAACTGGCATGCAATTTTGGGTGGGACTAAGGTAGCAAAACATTTTCCATGTATGGTCACCCATCAGAGAGGTCTAACGCCTCCCTCAAAGAATGTCCTATTTCATAATTTTTATCTGTACAGAGAAAAAGTGGAGAAGGAAATGACCACAGAAACATAACAGAATAAACTTGACTCAGTTTCTACAGTATACAGAAGATTAATTATTTTGGAAGCAGATGTTATCACAATTTTAAAAAAAACCTATAAGGTAATAAAAGGGGGGGGGGTAAAAAAAGGCAAAACACTAAACAATTTTAGACCCACCAGTTTTTGCTGAGGCTTCCTGAAAATCTGCTTGTCGGGCACAATATAGTTGTTTTCATAAAATGCGTGAAGCAACAAGAACTCATTACGCTCGGCTCGTCCACCCATCAGCGTCCTAGACTATTAAACAGAATTTCTTTTTCAAATTTGAGCTCGAAATCACAACAAACAGGAGCAACTTGGACTTTTGTAAATTTAATCATAGCACCTCCTTTAAAAATCATTGCTTATAACATGGGCTGTTTTTTTTTAAGGGTACTAAATTATTTCTAGCATTTTCTTTAAGCATTATACTTAAAAGGAGACAAAGAGAGCCTAAAATACTGACAACTTGGGCTATTTCTTTTCTCCCAAATGGACCATTCCACAAATGAAACACATCCAGATGTTAGAGATGATCCTTATGTTCACCCAAATTTCAGCATACTGCACCTGGTTTTACTCCCCTTCTCCCAACCAGTTCTTCATTTTACAAAAGAAGCCCAGCTTTCAGAATACAAGTTACTCATTTTATAAGGATGCATTTAGACTCATTATCATGTAACAACTACCCCAAGCAAACACTGAATCCAACAGGAAATGCTTTTCCCCCCTCTAAGTTAAATTTACCATAATGTTCCCAGCGATGTTAGTGATCTGCAATGCTAATGGAAGAACATTTAGCTCACACATGATCTGCAAAATGAACTTGGCATCTTTCCAGGTGTGTTCCAACAGGTACAACAGATGAGAAGGTTCACTGTACAGAAAAGTAAGAATGAAGCAGAATCAAGTAATTAAAAGAAACAATGACTATAATCAGAACTTCATAAAATATTACAGAAATTCTTGGTATAAGTAACCAGAGCAATGTCACCTTGGCTTTTGGAAATAATTTAAAATAAGGTCAGCATAAAACTGGTAATTCCCTCATGCCATCGATCCCAATGCCTCTCTCCAAAAATCAAAAAAAAATCCCACAAAGATAAAGTTATGTGTTAACTACAACCTGAAAACACCTGAATCCTTTTATTCATTCCACCTAGTAAGTATGTCTCGCGTGCCTATGTGCCAGGTATCCTGTCCTCAGGGGGCCTCTGTCCTCAAGAGGAAGACAGAGTATAAACAACCCATTAAATATATGCTATGCTATGCTATATAATGCTAAGTTAAAAAGAAAAATACTAAGAAGTAAAGGGACTATTATCAGGAGAAGAGACTGAATTTTCAGTTAGGGAACCAGAGAAGAGTTCACTGAGAATAACTGGGGAGGGAAGAGCATTCACAGTAGACAAAACAGCACATTCAAAGGCCCTGAGTACAGTGCAAATCTGGTGGTTCTAGGACCAGGAAGGCGACCACTGGCTGAAACGGAGAGAATGGAAGATCAGGACAGAGTTAATGGCAGAGAGACACACTACACAGGACCTTGTAAGCCAAAATAAGGACTTTGGTTTTTAAGTCACTGGAAGATTTTGAGCAGAGTGCCATCTCTGATTCAACTTTAGCAGGATAATCTGATTGTGGGGTTGAAAACAGAAAGCAAAGGATCAAGGGCAAAAGCAAGAAGACCAGTGAGAAGGCTAATATAAGACCCAGTCAGCCAGGGGAAGGAGGGTGGTGACTCAGACCAGGGTGGGTCCAGTGGAAGAGAAAAAGAGGCCAGATCTAGGCATATTTTGAAGATAGAGCTGTCAGAATTTCCTGATGGACTGAAGGTGAGATATCGGAGAAAGGAATCATGAATATCTGAGGTTTTAAGCCGAGGATGACTTAGCTGGTTTCCAGCAGTACCGGAAGAAGAAAGAGTTACCATTACTAAAGGGAAGACCACAAGAGGAAGCTAGCGGAGAAGATCAGAAGCCCAAGCTAAGCTGGAGGTTTGTATTAGACACCAAATAGAAGGTATCCTGGATACAGGAGTCTGGACTTCAAGAGAGAGGTCGAAGCTGAAGGTATGCAGGTGGGAGGCATGAGAACCCACATGGAACTGAAATTTGAGACTTGGTGAGATCACCTAGAAAAGAAGTACATCCGAAAGAAAAGCAGTCCAAGGACTTGAGAGGTGTGGGCGGAAAACAAGGAGAAGTGGCCAGAGGGGTAGAAGAAAGCTTTTTTAAGAAATAAGCAATCACCAAGTTTCAGTTACACAAAGTGACTGGAAATCTGATGTACAGCAATATGACTACAAATAACAATATTGGGTTATATACATAAAATTTGCTGACAGTAAGTATTAAATAGTCTCACCACTCAAAAAAAAGTAACTGTGAGGTGATGGATAAATTAATGGGATAGCTTGACTGTGGTGAATACTCCACACTGTATATGTACATCAAACATCAAGTTGTACACCTTAAATGTATACATTTTATGTCAATTTTATCTGAATAAAACTGGAAGAAATAATTGCGCAGTATCTCTAAATAACTTAATGATTTCTCAGTTTTTATATCTCTAAAATATTTACACTAATTCCTGAATTAATGAATTATGGGTAGAAACATAAATATCACATCAATTTCCAAAATGCTCCTTGGCAACATCAAGATGGCGTTAAGTGAGGGAGACAGAGATAAACTGAGCAAATTAGTACAATTCAAAAGGCAAAATATTATTCAAATTATTATTAAAGTAATGGAGATGGAGGTGCTAACATGAAGATAATTGTCCCCTCCATAGCACCACACACTCCCAAGGATAGTACTGGCATCTTGCTTTTGCTAATTTCAAGACAAATTCTAGCAGGGGTGTCCAACCTGCGGCCCACAGGCCACATGCAGGCCAGGATGGCTACGAATGCGGCCCAACACAAAATCGTAAATTTATTTAAAACATGATGAGATTTTACTGTGATTACATGTCACAGTGTGTTTAATGTGTGGCCCAAGGCAACTCTTCTTCTTCCACTGTGGCCCAGGGACACCAAAAAGTTGGGACACCCCTGTAAGCATCCAGGATCATACCTGTACATATTTCGTATATTTTCCACTGGGATTACAACCCTTTCAGTTTTCAGAATCTGTTGAACAAGTTCAGACAAATGGTAGCTTTTACAACGAATTAATTCCTTTGCCGAAATTTCCACATCACAGATCATTCGGCCACAGGTAGCATTTCTTTCACCAAATCCACTCCTGCCCTACAAGGGGAGGACAAAAAGAAAATCCCATGGGAAAGCAGACACGGAGAACAGTTTGTGCTAACTTCCTTTGAGGTTAGCCCCGAAATTACAATGACTAAACTATCATTCTTCCATTCATCTGGCCATCAATCAAATATTTTTGAACGACACTTTTCTAGGTACTCAAATATAGCAGTGAGCAAAACGGAAAAGATTCCTCATCTCATTTGAAATATACGATAAAAAATAGATATCATAAACAAGATATTATATAACTTTAGGGATAACAAGTATATGGAAAAGGGAAAAAGTAGAGCAGGATGAGGGACCGAGGAATTTGGGGGAGCCATGTCTGAAATGTGGTGGTCAGGGCAAACCTCACCAAGAAGATGCTCTATTAAAAAAACCTTGAAGAGGATAAGGAGTTAGCTTAAGCAAGTGTTCTGATGAAGTGTTAATAACCGCTCTATCACCTCAAAGATACAAATAAGGAAAGAAGCAAGAGCAGTGGCCCCAATTCCAATCTATAGCAGCAGAATCCTCTGGAGAGCATTATAAAAGGTACAGATTCCTAGGTTCTCTGATGAGACAGCATGCCCGTTTTATTTACAGACTTTAAGTAAAATAAGATTTCAAGCACTGAGCAGTATCAAGTTTAAGAAATAAAGGTGTTTCATCCAAAATCACCAAAATCTCCCAAAGTGAAGCAAGCAGGTAGAATGAAAGTGCATGGGCTTTAACAGGGTCAGATGGGCCTGGGTTCAAAAACCTCAATTCTTCCCTTGACGAGCTCTATGATTTGGAACAAGTTCTGTTACCCCTGGGAGACATACGGCACAGACGGCACTTAGCCCATTGCCTTCTTATGTGTTCAATGTCAGCTCCCTCTCCCTCCCCCTCCCCCTCCCCCTCGCCTTCCTCAATGATCACACTCAATGATTTCTGAGCCCAGTAACTCTGCTCTAAGGCCTAGTGCTTTGGTACTGCTAAAGTGGACTTAACACATGTGTGCTGTGTCTACATTCTAACAGCTAATTTTAAAAACTACCAATGGCTTTTACCAATAAAATGTTGGATTCAAAGGAAAAGATCACTAAACACCACCAAAGTTAAAAAATGTCCTATTACAAAACCAATTCCTAGTCAAAGCATATAAAAAGTCAAATAAAAAAGCAAGATTTTTTAAGTTATTATTACCCCAAGCTTTGGCATGTTGGATCGCTTCAGTCGACCTATCTTGGACCAGTAAGGAACTTTGCCAACATTAATTCTCTGCAGTAACACTTCCAGTTCAAACCCATAAATATTATGACCCTAGTCAGGAAAAGAAAGCAGCCAATAACATATCAAACGCAAATTAGAGGATTTATCTTTATATCTACAGAATTTTTTGGCCTTTTCTTTTTCTGGTCTCTAACTGAAGGCATCATGAGCTTACCTCCGATTGGGATTCTTTCTTCCGCAGGAATTATTCAGCAGTGGCATTCATTAGCCTTGACATTCACAAGGCTGCTCAGCAAATTGCTAGAATACAATTTATCTCATCCTAACAGATGCAAGGTTCATATAATGTTTTTTAACTTGCAGCTTATGCCTCACAGTCTCAGAGGCAGACGCAAATTTTAATGTTCACACTTTCTATGTGATCAGTAAAAGCTGTATTCAAACAATTTCAGTTTACTTCTTTAAAGACCAAGAATCTGTTTGTATTGTGTGACATTTATACATACTTCTAGAAAACTCAGGAACTGCATGCCGTTTCTTCCTAAAGAACTGAGACTCAAACACTACTGATTTAGATTCTTAATCACTGTGCAACAAAGTCACTAAATAATACCACTCAATATTTCAAATAAGAAACTTGAAAAAAAACAAGGACACAAAACCATAGCAGTAGAAAATACCTCAAAAATGTAACCAAATTTTCCACGTCTATAATGATAATTTCCATCATAAGAGTAATATAGTTCACTGCCTATGCTTATTTAAAAAACTAGATAAAAGTTTATACTAAATCAGATCAATAAATAGATTTACTTGTTACTAATTTTAATTAAAAAGAAACACTGTTATATATTTATGGCAGTTTTGTCTAGTAAGATACCCAAAGGACATCAGGATGTCTTATTTTCAAATTATCATGCCTGGGATTAAGGACTCAAACTTATCTCAAAATTCTCTCTTACATCAGTTTGGATTCTCATTCACAGACTTGGCTCTAATATCCTACGGCAGATCAGCTACCCCTGACACCATGACATCTCCTGGGGACCCAAGAGAAAGAATACTAGTGGAGACTGTGTGAGGGTCTAGAGCTTAGCTAGAGCACCAGAGTAGGGCACTGTGAACAGAATCTTCCTGGCACTTTCAACAAAGGTCCTGAAATACTGTAAGGGAAGTCTGAGCAGAGACACTGGTAACAGCCTATAGGCTCTCGGTCCTTTGGCTACACCACTGTCAGAAAAGGAGTCCAATAGCAAAAATGAATGCAGAGAAATAAATGGCAAACATTTGCAAGGCTTCGATGTAACCAAATTACCAATAGCTCATTTAAATTAGGCATTTATATCTTACTTTCCTCCCAAACCCAGGGGGGAAAAAAAAGACAAAAGGAAGGACTCCTATCAAGGAGCCTGCAAACTAAGGCAGGCCAGAGGAACTAGAAAACAAAATGTTGCTTTATGACTCTTAAAGAATGGGGCAAACGCAACAGCATGGACAGCCCTAGAGGGCACTATGCTCAGCGATGTCAGTCAGAGAAAGACAAATACCATATGATTTCACTTATATGTGGAATCTAAAGAACAAAGTAAACAAACAAAACTGAAACAGACTCACGAGCAGAGAGAGCAAACTGGTGGTTGCCAGAAGGAAGGAGGGTTGGGAGACTGTGTGCAAGAGGTCGAAGGCATTTAAGCACAAACTGGGAGTTAAAAAATAGTCATGGTGATGTAAGTGCAGCACAGGGAATACAGTCAATAATACTGTGATAACTATGTATGGGGCCAGGTGGGTGCTGGAAATATCAAGGGGAACGATTAGTAAAGTATATGACTGCCTAACCACTATGTTGTACACTTAAAACTAATAGAAAATAAAAATTAAAAGTAAAACACACACACACGCACACACGCACACACACACACACACATACACACAAAAAGGAATTGAGGCAAAGATAATTCATTGAATCATCACCTTGCTATCTCATGGGAAGCATACCCTATTGTCAAGAGGAAAAAAAGATTCCTAGCCCTGAGCTCTCAAAGCAATGTATCAAAGAGATCCACTGAACTCATAAACTTAAAATCCTGGGACTGCTATACAGCTGGGCAACTAGGCCAAAATTCTGGAGATATCAACAGCTGACCCAAGTTCTACTAACTTACAGGCTGATAGTCTTCTCAGTGCAAATAACTGTAGTAGCATCAACTTCAATAATAATTCATGAGTTGCCTTTCTGTTAGAGAAAAATACTACCCTACAGTGGGATAGGATTTTTTCCTCCTTTCTGTTAGCAGCACGTAGCAATTCCCAGCAGTCCACAGGGTTCGTTCACTCTGAAAAAAATTCTTTGCTGTTCAAAAAGTAGCACCTGAAAAGAACTGAGGACCGAAGAGCTTCCCCACAACATGATCAAACTCTACTTACCACAATGATATCAGGATCAATTTTGTGAACTTTTGCAAGGAAAAAACCTAGCAGTGTCCTTTCTGTTGCAGCAATCTCAACCTTCACTTTCTGTTAGATAAAAACAAACCAGTCACTTACTCTTTACTCTCAAGTACTATACCTTGGCTCCTTGATCCAGCAAGGTAAGATTTCTTAGGGTTAAAAGAAACCATCCAGCTCAAAATTAAATGCAGCAATGAAATCACTGATCTAGGTTTCGCCTTATTTACATCAAGTCCCTGAAGAGCTCATACTAGTAATAAGAGTGTTAAGTGAAGAAAAATTTTAAGTATTGAGCACAACCAAGTGCAGAAATGTCCCTCCACAGGGACACACTTGTGCATCTGGACACGTTTTACAGCACATAAATCAGAATACCTATCAAAACGCATTACCTACTTTCTTACATAATCCCCAGTAGACTTCATCTTTCATGTATTTACCACAAAAAGAAGGTCCAAGGATTGTATAAATTAATATCAAACAGTGGTGTAAGAATCTATAAATAAGAAACTAGACTAAGAGCAAACATACATTTAAGAATTACAAGTATCTTAAACATAAATAAAACCTATCTTCACACAAAAGGCTTCCAGTTGGATTACTAACTACAAATCAGGTTTTCAAAAGATCCATTTATTAAGACTCTCCTAAAATGGAGGTTGATGGCCATATGTTTTCTATAAATAGCTTGGCTAAAAAACATCAGTTTGACTCTAATCGAATGAATTTTCCTAGGTCATTCTACTCTGATAGGTAATTCAGGGCACTTCACAAGTAATCGCCTGGTCTCATAGCACCACCAGGCTACTGGACTTCTCAAGCCCACTTAAAATGAGTAGAACCTGACAAGGTTGCTAACTTTTAATTCTGTCAAGTCAGAACATTAAAAAAAACAAAACAAACCTACACATTTACCAACACCATCATTTCATAGAAGAAACAGCATACTCCCTCAAAAAGCAATCCTTTACATTGAACACACTTACTTTTGAGAAAAATTCACTACATTATCCAATTCCTCAATCCACCCGCACTTATTTTATTAAGGACTCATGGAATATACTGGGAGTAAGCTTCTTCATGGAGTACACTGAGAGTTTAGAGATCACTGATCAACTGAGACAAGGCCACATCAACCTTTCCAATACATGTCCCCTTAATATCCATAGCATTCACTTGGCTACCTTCCCTTAAGCTGGACCGGGAAGGGGTGGTGCAGAGCTCTAACCTACAGTTTCCCAAAAGAGTAATCACGTGATCGTGCACTTTGTAAAAGTTTCCTATTCCGCTATCTAAAGGAGAGTTTGAGCCTATCTGTCTATTCATACACTGTAGAATCCCACTATTTTCAGGTGGTGAAACATTTAAACATTGCTAAATAATGTTGCTAGTTTTACATTTTGAATACATTTCAATGGGTTACTGTCACACTCCAATCTATCAAGAAGAGAGCTAATCAGTTAACATAAAATAATCTGTTTCCACTAATCCACACCATCCTCCTTTCTTCAATCTAAACAAATAGATGCTTCACATTTAAAGAAATAAATGAGTTCTTTACCTTTTTCTTTATGTCTTCACCAAAAGCATATGGAAAAATACAGTCCTTTGGTTTAGAGACAACTGTAAAAAGGGAAAAGATAAAAATTCCAACACTCATCTTAGCCAATTTCAAGTACATATACACTGAATGTTTCCAAATAGAAACTGTATTAAATATAAATCCCCTCCAATCTCTAAAGAGTTAAGTGAATCAAGTATTTCCACTGGTCATGTTGTTGGACCTCAAAAGAATAGCCAAAACAAACAATCCTAAAATTTGTATGGAGTCATTCCAGACCTCCAATTGCCAATGCGCTCTTGAAGAAGAATAAAACAGGAGGCATCACCCTCCCTGGTTTCAACTATATTGCAAGGCCACAGGTATCAAAATAGTATGGTCCTGGCATAAAAACAAACACATAGATCAACAGAATGGAATGGAACGCACAGAAATAAACATGCATTCTATAGCCCATTTATTTATGACAAAGGAGCTAAGAAGAAATGATGCTGGGGACACTGGACAGCCATGTGCATAAGAATGAAACTGGACTACTATCATATACCATACATAAAATCTAACACAAAATGGATTCAAGACTTGAACATAACACCTGAAACCTTAAAACCCCTAGAAGAAAACATAGGTGGTAAGCTCCTTGACATCAGTCTTGGTGATAATTTTTTGGATTTCACACCAAAAGCAAAGGCACAAGAAACAAAAATAAACAAGCAGGACAACATCAAACTGAAAAGCTTCTGCACATGAAGGAAACAGTCAACCAAACCAAAAGGCAATCTACCAAATGGGAGAAAATATTTGGAAATCATGTATCTGATAAAGGGTTAATATCTAAAATATATAAAGAACTCATACAACTCAACATCAAATGAAACCAAACTATACAATTAAAAAATGGGCAGTAGATCTGCATTGGCATTTTTCCAAAGAGGACATACAGATGGCCAACAGGTACACGAAAAGGTGCTCAATATAACTAATTATCAGGGCAATACAAACCAAAACCACTATGAGCTCACTTCACACCTGTCAGAATGGCTATTATAAAAAAGATAAGAAATAACAAGTGTTAGCAAGGATGTGGGACAAAGGCAACTCTCATACACTCTTGGTGGGAATGTACATCTGTGCAGCCACTGTGGAAAACAATACGGAGATTCCTCAAAAAATTAAAAATTGAACTACAATATCATCCAGCAATTCTACTTCTGAGTATTTATCTAAAGAAAATGAAAACACTGACTGAAAAGGACATATGCACTCCAATGTTCATGACAGCATTATTTACAACAGTCAAGACATGGAAGCAGCCTAAGCGTCCATCGATGGATGAATGGATAAGGAAAATGTAGACTGTGTATTCACACACACACTGGAATATTATTCGGCCATAAAAAGAAGGAAACCTTGACATCTGTGACAACATGAATGGACCTTGAGGGCATTATATTAAGTAAAACAAGTCAGACAGAGAAAGACAAATACCATATGATTTCACTTATACATGCGATCTAAAAACAAAAAGAAACTGAGCTCACAGATACAGGGAACAGACTGGTGGTTGCCAGAGGCGGGGGTAGGGGGTGGATGAAATGACAGAAGGGAATCAAAATGTACAAACTTCCAGTTATAAAATAAGTAAGTCAGGGGGATGTAATGTACAGCTTGGTGACTATAGTTATTAATACTATTATACATTGCCTATTTGAAAGTTAAGAGATTAGATCTTAAAAGTTATCACAAGAAAAAAAATTTGTAACTATGTATGGTGACAGATGTTAACTAGACTTACTGTGATGATTTCACACCATATACTAATATCAAATCATTATGTTGTATACCTGAAACTAGTATGTTATACGACTATCTCAATTTTTTTTAAAGTTTAGAAGATTAAATCTAAAAAAAAAAAAATACCCAAACACAGAACCCTAAGCCCCTACAAGTGTTAAAACTCCTTAGATAAAACATTTGCTATCCATCTAAGTCAAAATGGAGGATGTTTATCAACCTTTCCCAAAGGAAATGTCCCACCACCAAGTTTCAACCAACACGCAATGGAGAAACTCAGTCCAACCTTCACAAAGCTAGAAAAGTAAAGATGACCAAAGCTTCCCTCACCATACTATAAGTTCCTTGGCATTCACAGTAGCTGTTCACAAAGTGACATACACAGAGAAGGTAAATAAATATAAGTTGAAATAAGCAAACGATTAGTCTCTTCCACATATTTTCTAGGTTATTCTCATCACTTTTTCCCATGTATTCCACCTCACTTAAAGGGTAAATCTTTGGTAGTCATTTCGCAATATATATAAATCAAACCATCATACTATACACCTTAAACTTACATAGTAAGGTATGTCAATTATTTCTCAATAAAACTAGAAAAAAGGTATACTCTACAATAATAATGAAGCACACTTCCTTCTGTGCTTGTTTCCCTAGTCCCGCTTTCCTAACACTCCCTCAAGAGACCAGAGAGGAGATGGCACCCCAGTTTATGTGTTTCTGCATTGGAAAAAAATCTAGGAATCATTGTATTATGCCTTTTAAAAACACAAACAAAAAAGCTGCTACTTAACTGGCTAAGTTGTTATCATGGGATATGCCAGAATGGTCCTTGGAGACTGACTCTCGGCATCCAAAATCTGTGGGAGTGTTTCACCCACTGAATCTTACACATAGCACAACCCAACAGCAAGTTGATATTACTGTAACTCCTCCCAAATAAGTTAAACATTCCCTTATTCCTTGGCATCTTCCCTCATCACAGAAAACTTTGGCCAGGTTCTTATGATGGGCTTTTGAAGTGACATCATGGAAAGAACACAGTTAAAATATAACTGTGCCCCAGGAAAAAACTACTCCATCCCAAGAGACTAACCACTGGAACAGAAAAAAGGTATCAAACTGCCTCTTGACTTCTCTTTGAACAACACAAACCAGCTGAGTAAGAGGCAACCAATCCAATAAATCACTCACTACTCTTGAAAACATTTAAAAAGACAAGTTACTAATGCAACAGCTGGAGAAAAAATAAGCAAGACTAAAATCAAGCCATTAGTAAACCAGCTAAAAAAAATACATACCACAGAAGTGTGACTGAAAGGGAGGCTGTGGCGGGGCTTTATCTAATGCAAAGCTGTGATGAACCAAAGCTGCCACAGCGATAATCTGCAAACAAAGGAGGGAAAAAAACATCACTTATCAAACACTTACTATGTATTCTGCATTCTCAACAAAACCACCAAGAATATTAAAAGATACAGACTTTAGTACACACGAATATTTTAATCTTTTGATTAGGAGGGCATTTAAACAAAAAAAAAAAATAGAATAATAAGATCACCTCTCATATACCCGTCATCCAGCTTCAATTATCAACTCATCTGTAGCCTTATCCACTTTTTTATTTTTTAATATCCCCAAATTATTTTGAAGGAAAGGCCAGATCAATCATTTTATCCAGAAATATTTCAGCATGTACCTCTCAACCTTCACACCATGGACATCTTAGGCCAAATAATTCTTTGTTGTGGGGGCCATCCTGTGCAATGGGAGATGTTTACAGCAGCATCCTTACCTGCCAGTAGCATGGCCCGCCCCACCTCCCATCCCGAAGTTGTGACAACCAAAAACGTCCCCAGACATTGCCAAATGTTGCCTTATGGGCAAAATCTCACCCTGCTGACCACCAGTTTAAAAAATATGACATTTTCAAAATGTAATACAATCATTTCAGCTAATACAGTTAACAGTAATTCCTTAAAATCATTCACTATCCAGGCAGGATTCAAACTTTCATGTTTTCCCCAAACTATTTCAATTTTATTTACCAAATAAGGTCCATACTTTGCAAGTGGCTGATAAATAAAACTATAGGTAGAACCCACCCCCCACACCCCCATTATTTCCCTGCAATTTATCTGTTGAAGAAGCTGGGTCACTTGTCCTGTAGAGTGTCCCCATAGTGTGGATTCCACTGCTTGTATCACAATGATGTTATTTAACATGTTCCTTTGTTTCTGTACTGCCTATAAATTCACATTTTTATCTAAAGGTTCGATCAAACTCAGGTACAATTTTTTGGCAAGAATACATCAGCAGCGCTACTGTTTACTTCTACCACAAGGCACAGGCACATTATGTATGGCTCTCTTTAGTGATCAGTGTCTAAATCCTCTATTTCACTAAGGATTGCAAGTGGTTAATGGTCAGCCTTTCCTTCAGCATTTATTGTCTGGAAACCTGTGAAGAGAAACCCCCCCCCCCCTCACCAATTATTTGGTTAGCTAAGGCACAATATGTGTTCAAAAAAGTCAAGATAAATGCGTGATTCAAACCCTTCATTGACCCATTTTTACTATGAATTGATTCCCTAGCTTTCTTCTGAGGCGGCCAATGTGCTTGTGTTAGTGTACAATACCATTATAAACTCACATGTTTCAATCTGTTACAGTTATTCTTATCCATGCTCACACTGTCCCATCTTGGGCCCATAAGAAACTTATTCAAGTTGCCTCCTGAGTTCGTCTGGCATATCTTAGATTTTCATATCACTCTTGCTTTCTAGTATAACAAGATAGTCCAGCCCTGGCTGCTGTGGCTCAGTGGATTGAGCACTGGCCTGTGAACCAAAAGGTCGATTCCCAGTCAGGGCACGTGCCTGGCGGTGTGCAAAAGGCAACTGATTCATGTATCTCTTGCACATCAATGTTTCTCTCTCTTTCTCCCTCCCTTCCCCTACCTCTAAAAATAAATAAAAATTTTAAAAAGAAATCAGAGTAAAAATACTACCAAAATTCTGCTGTGAAAAAAGATCCCCATAACTGTCAAAAGGACTTAGAAGCAAACATAAAGAAGGTCCCAATGACCAATGAAAGACAAATTTCAGCGTCAAAAGTAACAATAATGATGAATGTAATAGACTGAACATACTGAATATATATATAACACCCATGAGTTCATAATTTTCCACAAAAGAGGAAGTAAACATAAGTAACAACAAAAACAAATAAATGGTTAGTCAATGCTGGATATAATGCAGGTCCCCAACTTCCTATTCAGAAAACTACCAATGAAAGAGAAAGAAGTACACATTTATCTCATCTTTCCTATATAAACTACTGCAGCACAACCAAACAGAACTAGTTAACGAGAAGTGTTAATTTTATAAAAATTTAACTTATAAATGTTCAAATTTTTAACATGTTTAATAAACATGGAAAGGATGACAAAATGAGAAAACCACCATTTTACTGGGTTGGCCAAGGAGTTCATTTATTTTTTTCCGTATGATGGCTCTAGCAGTGCTTAGTTGTCTTTACCTTCATTTGAAACAATTTTGTTACATTGTATTGTGACAGCTGTCATATTAGTATGTATTTTGAAAAAAGTATCAAAATTGGTGAATTTTTGTGCGGCCATTTTAATATTGAAGATGGAAGAAAACTTGCAACATTTTCAGCATATTATGCTTTATTATTTCAAGAAAGCTAAAAACACAACTGAAATGCAAAAAAATATTTGTGCAGTATATGGAGAAGGTGTTGTGACTGATACTAATCAAATGTGTCAAAAGTGGTTTGCAAAGTTTGTTGGTACTAGTGACATTTTGGCCAAATGATTCTTTGCTGTGGAGCTGTGTGAGGCATTGGAAGATGTTTAGCAGCGCCCCTGGCCTCTACCCACTCGAAGACAATAGTGGGAGACAGCCAACATACTCAAAATAGCCAAATCAATGAAGTTATTGGTGAAAATGAAAAATCTGTCTTTATTTTACAGAAAAGAATGGGCTTTTTGGCCAACTTAACTCCTAATGAAATAACTAATTCAGGCAAAAATCACTAACAAAGGAAGCCATTAGGTGAATGGTTCTCACCTGGGAACAATTTTGCCCCCCACCCCCAGGGGACATTTGGCGACATCTAGAGGAATTTTTGGTTGTCACACCAGGAGGGAGGAGTGCTACTAAGCATCTAGCAGGTAAAGGCCAGAGATATTGCTCAACACTCCAAAATGCAGAGGACAGCCCCCACAACAGAGAATTAAACATCTCCAAAAATCAGCAGTAGCAAGGTTGAAAAACCTAACTGAAAACTGAAACCGAATAATCAGCCCCACTCACAGCAGTTTAACCAGACATGGTATGCCTGCTGATATGATACAATAGGAAGTACAATGCATCACATATATTTTCAGCCAAAAAAGTCAAACCTGAATCTAATCAGTCCTTTATCGCTAACTAACAGGCACCGCACCCTTTTTCTGTAAAGAGCCAGAGGGTAAATATTTTGGGCCTTGCAGGCCACGTGGTCTCGGTCATGGCTCTAACTCTGCCTCTGTAGTGCAAAGTCAGCTGCACATAATACGTACATAAAGAAAAAATTCTCTGTTCCATGAAACTTTATTTACAAAAACAAGTGGTAGGCTAGATTTGTCCCATAGGCCATGGTTGGCCAAGGCTTGGTGGAGAGAAGTCAGTCCAATGACACAACGAGCCAAACACACACAGAAAATGGGGCACTTTATGAAACATTCTCCACTAAGTCAAAGTCACTTAAAAAACTGTAGGGGGTGGGAGGGAGCTGCTCCCGTTTAAAAGACATTCAAGACACATAAAAATTAAACACCATCTGTGATTCTTATATGAATCCTGATTCCAATAAACAAAATGTTAAAAGACATTTTGGAGAAAAAGAAATCACGTGAATATGGACTGGATATTTTAGATGATGCCAAGGAATCGCTCGCTGTTAATGTTTTTAAGTGTGATGATGGTATTATATAAGAAAGTATGCTTGCTTTGAGAGATGCACACCAAAGTATGCAATGATACAAATGTTTGAGATTAGCCTTAAACTACTTCAGGAGGAAAAAAAGGAAGGGGAGTAAACAAATATGGCAAAATCTTGCGAACTGCTGAACGTAAGTGATTGGTATATGGAAGTTTATTAAATTATTCTATGTCCATTTAAAGTTCTCCAAAATAAAAAATTTAAAAACCAAAAAATAAAAATAAGTCCAGCAATTTAAACCTTTTAAAAGACTTTGGCAGTGAATTAGTAGTCTTTCCCCTTCAAAAAGAACAACTTTCCCTTACAGAAAAGCTGTGTAAGTTCAGGCAAGTATTTGCATATAAGGTATCGGTACAAAATCTGTCCTATTTCTTTACCTCATTTTCATGTGTCTTTGCATTTTGTACTGTCTTCATGCTGAAAGACATCACCACAAGTGGAGGGGAACCAACATCCTTAATTACATTCACCAGGTCTGGTTTCAAAGCCATTGCCTCAACTTTACACCAGCTGATCGGCTGATTTATGAGCTCTAAAAGAGAAAAAAATACAACAAATCAATAGCCATTTATTGAAAAAGGAAAAATATTATAATTAAGGCATCTGTGATTGAGGTCTTCAATCTCATCTTCTAATAAGAATGTCTTATAACATTTAACTAACAATAAGCCACGTTAGTGGATTGTATGCAAATCCTTGTGTGTGCACACCCATATGCTCTCATTTCCCTGGAAACAGGTCTACAGCTTCCATCTAATTTTCTGAAGAATCCTGGAACCAAAATAAGTTTTTTAAAAAACAAATCACTGCCTTGGAGAAATCACAAAACATTGTTAAGAGATTCCTGAAGACAAAACAGTGTATCACAGCTGCAAATACCGAAAAACATCAGGTAAGAGATCAAACCACCACTGTCCACGCTGGGCAGTGATACCCTCCTTCTTCAGAGGTTAGCAGTTAACTAGGAAGAACAGCTGGGCCCCATCAGCCAGGTCGGAAGTCCACACTGACAGCAGCGTAATGAGAGACGCGACCAAATGCCACCTGGGCTGTCTAAGGCCTCCCTGCATGCTGCCAGGCATTACAGAGACAAAGTGATTCCAAACACATTCCCTATACTCACTCAAGGAAAACCTTGAGGAAAAACACATAAAAAAGAAAGTGGACACACTGAAATAAATAGACCAATTCCTTAACTTCCCTTTTAAAAACCACCTCTATCAGCAATTTACTTAGGATTCTGAAAGTCAAATTTTCCTTACGTGGATTTTTTACTTCAAGCCAACAAGGTCCTTTGATCTTTCTGTTCATCAAGAACAGTTCCAAGCCGGATGTGTTAGTCCCAAACACGTGAGAAAAAGTTTCTCCTTTCAAATCCTGGGGAAGCTGTGGCATTTCAGACTGAAAAAGGCAAAGAGGAAAAAAAAATCTTTTTTGTTTAAAACTATTACTTCACATTTTCCAAAGTCTATATTTGAAATAAACAAAAGCCTCTCTATGAAGTACCAGAAGGAACTCCTTTTATATATATGAAATGTAATTTGCCACAAATGAAATCCAAAACAATTCACAGTAGGAAACAAAAACAATTCACAATGACAAAATAATGCATCTTGATGACATCCATTAGAAGAAAAATAGGCCAAGAAGCTCCCCAAAAGAGGGTTTCTGTCCAAAGCCATACATGTCTTCCTGATAAAGAACAGCCAAATAAGTACCACTGCGTTAGAAGAATAAAAGCAAGAGAATGGGACTCATTCAAAATGTTTGCAGGGTACATTTCATCACCACTGTCAGAAACATTTCTTAAAAGTTTCCCTTTTCCAACACTGTGGGATCAAAACACTAGAACAAAGGTAAAAGAGGTTAAGGTCCAGTTAATTAACATCCCACAGCCATGACTTTGCCTGTCACAGGAGCAGGAACGGCACTATAGTGACACTACGGACACTCTCCTCTCTCACCTTTCTACTGCTCAGAAGGGACACTTCAACAGACTATAATGATGGTTAATGCCATCATGCGTCATTCATTCCACTTGACAAACAGTTGTGCTGTTTTGACTTATTTATTCAAAGATGCAGAGGAAAGCAGTACAATCTGCAGTCTACGTATTTAATTTTTTATCCGTTTTAATTATTCATTACTGTAAGTCCACCTCAATAAACTGTGGGCTTAAGGAGCTCTGTGAATACTAATTGAAAGCCAATTGAAACTTCAAAAATAGACCACTGTCATTGTCACCAAAACCCAGTAATTTTGTTTCACTTACCGAGTATCTAACTTCCAAGTACTCGGATTTTTCTGGAACATCAGGTATCTCAAAAGCATAGTTCTTTTCCACTATCTGGGTAAGCAGGTATTTTAAAATTATTAATGAAAACTTTTCACAAAATAAATTGACGAACATTACATACACAGTGTATGGCCCTGTATTTAATCATTAGGAATCCAGCATCCTTATGGAACACAAAGGTAACTAAAGCCAAAGAGGCCCCAGTTTCCCCTTGCAACTGAGATAAGCACCCAGTGACTAAATGCTAAAAAGACTTCTTTTAGACACTACAGAACTTAGAAATATTTGCATTCAAGAAGGGCAATAAAAGACTCAAACATTTTACAATGTTAACTCATTAAATCATTTGCTACTCTTTAATATTAAGCAACCCCATTTTGCTAGAAAATTTCACAATTAGCATTATAATTATAGCTCATATTTACTGAGCACCTGCTAGGTACCAAGAACTGTTCTGATAACCTAATATAAATTATTTGAGTTAACCCTTCCAGCAACTCTTGAAATAAGTCCCCACTTCTTGAGAGAAGAAACAGGCCCAGAAGTCACTCGGCACTTGTTCAAAGTCAAACACAGTTAGGAAGCAGTAGGGGCAGGACTTAAAAGCAAAAGGTGTATGGCCTATACTCTTCACCATTACACCACATTGCTTTTAGAATTTTAGAGACTTGATCCACCAGCCACAATTCAAAGCTCAAATAGTTAAGACCATTAGCCTTACCTTCAGCAACTCAACCCTCCTTTTATTGCAATCACTGTGAATAGCCAGTGTGTGGAGTTACTGCCCCCATATTGATGGCCAAAGGAGTCAATTACCTCACAAAATCACTATCTCACAATTGATCAATATGTATCACAGGAACAAAAGATTTTTATTCTATCAGAATAGCATCAGACTCCATAATTTTTAAAGAAAAAACCCTCAACCTTCTGACTAAGACAACTTGGCAATAACACACATGAGATCAGAACAGTTTCTTCTCTGTTTGGGAATAAGAGCACAAGATATGCTTCAAGTATTGGAAGCAATTACTTTGCTATGAGTAATCTTTGTATTCAAATTAATGAACATTATTTCATAAGCAGTTTAAAGAGAAAGGAAATATTTTCACAAATCTAATATTCTGGTTTTACACTGATATCTATAAAATTCCTGTTCAATGAATTATAGCCACAGAGGGAATTTTGCACAAAGATTTGCAACAACTATTTGCTAAATCAGGAAATGAACAATCAACTGATAATTAGAGCTGGGAAAAATTATCACCAAATACAAACCTTGGACTTGAACTTCATAATTTTATATTTTGCTGCGATTTTCTCATCGAATTCATTATAAACATCCTTCATTGTAACTGGAGTTCCTGTTTCTTTCCCTGTGTTTAGATCAATTTTCTGCTCTCCCATGGAGAGGGAAGAGGGGGGTTAAAAAAAAAAAAAGAGTATCTGTACATAAATCTTTTCAACCACCAGAAACCCAAGTCTAAATCAATTTTCATCTTCACCCAGTTAAACATTTAATAGAACAGTCTTACAGGGGAGTTCAAAGATACAAACAGACCCAAAAATGTACTAAATCCAATGCCCGATTCTTCCCAATGGCATCATAAAAGCAAACCAGAGATAAAGATGATCAATCAGTCCTGCAAATTGGGAGAAGAATGTTATAAATCCTGACCAAGAATCTTCACGGTTCAGCTCACATGGGGAGTGGCTGGGTTCGGAAGGGGACTGTGGATATAAAAGGACGAATGGAACCGATCCTGTTAAATGGCTACAAAGGAAATGGTACTGCTGCCTACACAGTAAAAGCATAAAAACTGGGCCAAACTCCATGTCACATTTTAGAGCCATACATTCCCAACCGCCATTACTATGGAAATGAGGGGTGGAGGGAAAGGCAGGATCACATACGAAAACTTAAGACACTTTCACAGTCTTTCACACTTTCTCACAAGTAGAAAAACAGAGATTTACTTCATTTCTCTACTTTTCCCAACCTCTAATGGAGCTGCTGACAATCAGTGGTGACCAGGCAAGCAGCAAGAAAAATGCATCAAGGTCGTGGGTAATTCATAGCCCTGCTGAAGAACAGGGCTGGTGGCAGAACACAGGATGCACTCGGAATTAAAAGCTAATGACTAACATTTACCGTTTCACGGGGCAGGAAGTAGAGCGTTCGCTCAATGTTTTTCACCATAACGCAACAGCTCACGTGGGTTTCAGCAGATTTGATCCAAACTTTGCCAAACAGAAATACTACACCTAAAAGAATAAGAGAAAACCATGGGGAAAAAAATTCAATTATATCACATTAAAGAGACACTATAAAGACTCAAATATATATGCCTTCATGATGAGTCACTTTTTACAGCAAATTTCTATCTGATGTCCAGTCCCCAACACCATTTTCTTTACCCAGTATTTATGTCATACAACAATACTGCACTACTAAAACCTGTGACCACTAGGAGGACAGGGGACAGAATGATTCTTGGTGTAAACATTTTTCCTAAAATTAGGGCGACATGCAGGTAAATAGAGACAAACCTTGGTTATTAGGGACACATCCCAGGCCTGAGCAGACACCCCTGGGGAGCTAGAGAGACACCCAGGTCAGTGTGGAAACCCCTGCAGAGCCAGGGAGACATCCTAAGCCAGTGCTGAACACTAAACACAAAACACATTTTCCCTCAAACCAGGACTACGCAGGTTAGGAGAAACAAAAAAGAAAACTATTTTCTAACAAATCTCACATTTAAACCTTTTGTGAGAACTCTGAGAATTAACACTAAATTCCTTTTTAGCACTTGTACTTTCTGATAAAAATTAACATTCATGTATAAGGGTAACTATCATGGTACCCCAGTGTTTTTCTATGAGTAAAATTGTGTTTCGAAAAAAACAATTTATCTCATGTGTCTTATTCCATATAATAATAAATGTCTCACAATGGGGTTCAACTACTATCTCCTATTTCACCTTTTCCACCTCAAAGACTACTTAAGACATCTAGCTAGGCAGTGTTTATAATGTTCCTCTCTTTTATTTCAGTTTAACAAATAGTCTAATAACCAACTCAGCAGACACGCTCCTTTTGAGATCCCTCTGTAATATATACTACAAAGTAAAAACAAGGCTTTTTAGATATCAAGTCACTGCTCATGAAAGCTGGCCATCAAGGCAGTTGACTAATGGATTCGTTAGTCAACCTAAGAGATGATCACTGTCCAAAATCCTGGGCCCCATGAACACTTAGATAGCAGTAATCAACATGGCTGCTCAACACAGCCACTTGGCTGAGACACCCAGAAAATTCTGGCACATGTAAAGGCTACTGTTCACAAAGCCCATTACTCCAGTTTCACAAGATAGCTTCATCAGTGCTTCCTTTTGTCACTCATTCTAGTAGAAATAAGACCATCTAAGAATTTTCATTTCTGCAGATGATTAAAATTCTAACAAGAGTTGTGTGATTCTCATCTGGGGGAAAGAGGCAGGTGGGGGGGTGAAAAGGGAGAGGGAAGGGAGGACTGTGGGGATGATTAAAAAGAAATCACAGTAGTGCAGAAAATTAAAAGTCATCCTTACAACACTTAGAGATGAAAAAACAAAATTCCAAGCAAAGAAAAATAAAGACCCTAATATTGGATTCAAAGATTCAAATAGCTCATTTTACAGTCAAACTAATATCACACTTCATGCAACACATTTGACACTGTTTATGCCTCATTTGCCACAAAAAGATCATGGTAAACAAAGATTATATCCCCCCCCCAAAGTTACTAGCTGAAACCAGGTGCAGACAGGATTATTCAACCTTGAAAAAGTCATAATGAAGACAGGATATCTTCCCATATGCAAAGAGTAAAATTCTTTTCATAATTATGGAGCATTCAGCAACAACTGACTGACTTAGAATCTGCAAGAAAGTGAGAAACAATAACAGGGTCTTTGGGTGTACTTCGGTTTTATTAGCAGCATTGATTTCACCAAGGCTCAGTGATCATTACCTGCTATCATGATGAAACTGTTCAACCCTCTGAGATTAAAGGACTTTTTTTTTAAGTCATCTTATTTAACCCATTGGCATCGATCACAGAGGGTACAACTTGAGAAGTACCACAGAACAGCAGAATGGACTGAGGGTGAGAAGCCTAGAATTCTGCCACTGAGGAGCTGACCAGTCTATTTTTAGAACCTCAGCTTCCTCCTCTGTAAGTGAATAACTAGACTAGATGATCTCTGAGGCATTCTCCAGCACCAGAAATTTCCTTTTACCTTAGCATTTGGAAGGCAGACCAATAACAGACAGGTATCTCTTTTAATTGCAAAATAGAAGTTGAAAAGGCCTATCCATGACTATGGTTAGTACCAGGAATTCAACAATACATATTATAAATTGTATTTGCTTTGCAAATGTACCTGTGCTTCGATGCCTCAATTTTAACTTCCAGCACCTATTACTATACAGACTAGCACCAGCCACAGAAACTTCAGCACTGCCTGGCATTGTTCTTGAAAGCTGAAAATAAAAGGTCCCAGCCCTCCAAGGAGTTAAAAGGCTTTGGGGGAGACCAAAGCACAGAATCAGACCTTTTCAAAATAATATGACAAATGCTACCATGGGAAAAGGTACGATGAGGTCATAGAGAAAGGGCTCCTAGGCCAGTCCAGAGGGTTAGGAAACTTCCAGGAGGTGGTACCTGGGCTGAGCCAGGTGAGGGCATTCCTGTCAAACACAATGAGCAAAGGGACAGACTGGGAGCTACTTCTAGGTCACAAAAGTCATGCGTGGCAGGCATGAGAAGCCTTGCTAAGGAACTTGGGCTTTATGTTATAGGCAGTGAGTAGCCACTGAGGATTTTTTGTTAATGAGGAAATGATACAGTCAGAGTTACACTCCTGAGCGATTGCTCTGGCCAGTGTGGGAGGTGGCAGCAGAGGGATTGATCAGGAGGCTGGTGTGACGAAGGCAAGAAGGGATCAGAGGAGGTGGCAATTGTGAGGAGAAAGAGAAGACAGCTCATCTACTTTAGGAGAGAAGACGAGTAAAACTGGATGAAGGCGGCGAGGAAAAGCGGGAATCAAGGTTGGCTCCCGCATTTCTGGTTTTGATGGGACCGTTACCCAAGACAGGGTATCCAATCCAGGATCGAGCAGATAAAGCAAAGCACAGAGAGTAGTACTGGGAAGGGCAGGCCCAGCATGTCGCACAACCGCAGCGAGCACCACTCACACTGCTGTGGCTCCAGGGGTCCCTTGCAGCTGCACAACGGGGCAGCCTGGGCTTTGGCAATGGATGGGCAATATTTGCCCAGCCTCACGTAATCACCCCTGCCAGCCTACCTTCCACTGGCAAGTAACAAAGAAGCAGTCAAAGAGGTGAGAGGGCCTAACCAAATTGACTTGCCCTAGTTAAAGCAGATGTGGTACCATTTCTAAGATTTCTTCCATCTTTACCTAAGAAACTAACACGTGGAACTCAAGTGGCTCTGCAAGGCTTTCTACAGGTTTGATAAGCTGAACCATATTAACACTTCTGCCTCCCCTCTGAGAAACCATTAAAGTCTTTCCAGTTAAAGTCAATGCCTGGTTATCCTAAAAGTAAATCTGGCCTCCAAGTGTGACAGTTAATACTTGCTCTTTTCTCTCATTCACTTGCTTCACTGACATCGACACACCCTCTGTTTTCCTTACCAGATGCAGCCTCCAGGAAACCACATTGAAAAATACAGTTCGCACCTACCCTGAGATCCAGAAATGGATCTGAAAAAAAGTAACTCCTTAAGCATATATACTGTATTCTCTATTAATCCAACAGGCCTTTTCATGCCCAACCCTGTGGTGAAGAAGGGCTCAAAGGAGCAGAACAGCAAACTGGAGAACCTCCTGGCTTTTGAGTCAGAATTCGCAGTACCAGCTCATTCGGAGGAGGACCTGGGAATCATTCTCTCTCTCTCTCTCTCTCTTTTTCTTAAGATTTTATTTATTTATTTTTAGAGAGAGGGGAAGGGAGGGAGAAAGAGAGTGAGAGAAACATCAACTGGTTGCCTCTTGCACAGCCCCAACTGGGGACCTGGTCTGCAACCCAGGCATGTGCCCTGACCAGGAATCGAACCAGCAACCTTTGGGTTCTAGAGCTGGTGCTCAATCCACTGAGCCACACTAGCCAGGGCTGGGAATCATTCTTGATTCCTCCTTTATGTCAACCCTAACATCAATCCATCAACAAGCTCATGTCAAAATACATATTAAATGCATTCACTGCTCTCCACAGCTACCACTACTCCAAGTAACTAGCATGCCTGCCCTGGACCGACTGACCTCCAGGACTTCCACACTTCCCTACTACCCCACTCCAGCCCTTCTCCTCCCCACTCCCATGCTATTCTCCACACAAACCAGAGGGTTCCTGTGAAAATGTATGCCCAACCATGAGACCGCCACCCCACCCACTTAAAATCATCCACTGCCACCCCATGGCTCTTAAAGATCTAAACTCCTTCATACGGCTTTCAAGGTCCTTCACTATTGGGCCTTGGCCTTTATCTCCAACTTCATTTTCTATGAATCTTGTCACTTGATTACTGTGCTACAACCACATAAGCGACCTTCTTTCTCTCCAGACCTCTGTGCTTACTGGTTCTTCAGGCTGAAATGCTTTCTTCAGATCTGCACATGCCTCAAGTCTCCGCCAAGTGGCAGTCTCCTCAGAAAGGCCTTCCCAGGCCATACCCCAACTAACTGCCTCTACACCATTTATCAACTTACCTTATTTATTGCGTATATCTCCCACCCATTCACACCCCACTAGAATATAAATTCCATTAGGATAAAGAATTTGTCCAGCTTGTTCATCCCATCTCAGTACCCAGCACACAATACTGTGTTCAATTTGCTGAATAAATGAACAAATTAATGACTGATTTCATTTAAAGTGCATAACTTCAAATACACCAAAGATAAACTGTAGGCATCTTTGAGGACTATTCACACCACACAGCTCCTCCATCCGGGTGGGCTCATGCACTTCACAGTGCCTGAGTGTTGCTCCCTTACTATGCACGTATGTGAGTGCAGAGCCTGTGCCAATTACAATCACTAAAGCGTTTAAGGGAAAGGTGCTATTCTGTGTTAAAGACATACAGTATGATTACCTGGTTGGCTGTACTGATCTTCATAAGCATCCAGCCAATAAAACTGAAACACTTGTTCTTCGTCTGCCCCTTTTACCAGTGGCAGGTGATTGGAATCCACTTGAACTTCCTGCACTGAGAAACTGCTGTCATCTTCCTGATCGATGTCCCAACAAGAGACATCTGGGAGAAAACCTCCTCTGCAAAAATCAAATTTTCAAAAACCTTTCAAAATCCAACAGAGTAATTGCAGCACTACTTGCCAGAAAAGTCATAAAATGCTCTTACAAGCAGGACGTGGTCCCTTTCCCAGGATCTGCCTCCTGTTTCACCACCTCTGCCGGCTCGCTCTCTTGGTTCCAGGTCTTAGCAGCCACAGGCTCCGCAACCACCTCCTCAGCTTCCATGGGTTCATCAAAGTCGCCATCTTCAAAATCTATTGCCCCCGACTCCTCCTTGTTGTGTGTACACAATTCAGCCGGCACTGGCTCTCCTGTAGGCGTCATTGCACATTCCCATCATGGACTGCTGCTGCGAAGCACAAAGGCTTCCCTTGCATGCCCATATGGCCTGCCCTTTTACCGCACGGTACTTGCCTGTCTCTTCGACCTCCAAATCGAACGCTTATACCTTTTACTGCTATGAATTCAAATCTTTCACACTTACACTTGCTATCACAAATACTTCAAAATCGCCTCCCCTTCCTCCTTCCCGGGGCCTCCATTTTTGACAGCATTTTGCAACTGCTCCACACCCTTGCACTTCTGCCTGACATCAGACTTACCAGCAAATTCAGCACGCTGAAGAGGAATCGGAGTTAATAGAGGCTCCTTCCTTGAGACAGGGGAAGCAGTTTTGCCTGAAGGAGCTGCCTGTAAATGTTTTCAAATGTTTAGTCAGTTAGACCTGCATACTAAAAATATGCCAACTGTCCTACTCTGACCAGAGATAATGACAGTTCCCATTTATAAAACGATTTTGTGTGCTATTAATGTAACAGCTTCAATTATTTTACTGTTACCTAGGCTTACAAAAAAATACTTGTTTCCAGGAGGAAAATTATTACATTTAGCACAGGTGTAATACCTATAATAAACACATACTACTTACTACAAAATTTACTATGGAAAAAGCAGGCACATGCTATTTTTGAAATACATGAAACCATATAATGAAATGGGAGCCCTAATTTAAAAAAAAAAAAAAAAAACAAAGAACAAATTCAAAGGCATTTCGCCTGCATAGAAAAGCAACAAAATAAATTTTAGGCATAACGTAAATCAAGTCTGAAGGCATTTCCACACATTTTACCTTGGGGGTGTGCAAAGAAAAAGGATTCAGGGAAGCTCCACCGGATCTTTTCTTCTTTGGTATTATTACAGCTGGTGGAGTTATGTGAGGTGTCTAAAAGGAGGGGAAAGACAGACCTTCACTGCCATGCTTGGTTTACCACGAGGAAAAAAAGTACGTTTCCTCCCCCATTGAAACCCAATGAGCAAAGCATTGTTTTCCTTCCCTGCTCCCCCCAACAAATCTATGTTCACACACTACGGTTACTATAGCAACAATACCACAGACTCACTAGTAAACCAGGATATTGAATCTACCCCTGACCATTTTTTTTTCCTTTTAAAAACTTGACATACTTTTCCCTCACCCTTCCAGAGTATTTTATTTAAAAACTGCCAAACTAGAACTACATGGTGTTGGTGTAAGTCATTTTAATCAAGGGTCATTTAGAAAGACACACACCTCTACATGAGAGTCTAGTTTTTTTATGTAAAATAGCAAATTCTCAGTACAGCTCAGCCTGCCTGAGTTCTATCAGGGATAGCTCACTGCCTCTTCCTTTGCTCCCACTCGAAATTCCAGACACGGATCTCATGCCTGTTTGTACAGACTGACAGGCTTCACTCTATTTTGGAAACATAGTGCAGCAACTGAGTGCAAGCAGTGTGCATTCCCAGAGCTGATTCGTGTGTGTATTCCTACCACCTCAAACACACTCCCATACAGCTCAGTCCACAGAATTGCATAGCTTGTAACAGCTGGAAACTACTCTCACCTAAAATGGTGAGAAGAAAGCACTTTGAAGGGTTGTTCTTTCTGGTTTGGGAAGTAAGAAAGCACTTTGAAGGGTTGTTCTTTTCTGGTTTGGGGGGTTTTGTTGGTGGTGATGATGGTGGTAGTGGTGGTGCCACTGCATTTTTAAAAATCTGGCAACAGTCTGTTTTGTATAATTACTGAACTGTTTTTTCAGCCTATGTCCCCTACATATGTAACAACTCGCAGAGATTCACTTACCTCAGTGGTCAGATCTTGTAGAATGTCACCTAGCACATCATCCTTGGACAAGTCTACAGCTTTCTGGAAGTTATAAAAGAAAGTAAAATGAGATAGCCCTACTTTTCCCATTTTCACTCAGACCACATGTCTATGAAAGGAAGAACCTCTTCAGGCCTCACTCTGAGCGCTCCCCTACTAGTCACAGATATTAACAACCACCTGTGTATACATAACTCCCAAACCTAGAGTTCCCATCCTCATTCCATGACCCTCCTGTTAATCACTGAAATAAACACAGTTCAAGGTTTGTTTGTTTGTTTTTTTAAGATTTTATTTATTTTTTAGAGAGGGGAAGTGAGGGAGAAAGAGGGAGAGAAACATCGATGTGCAAGAGAAACATCGATCAGTTGGCTCTCACATGCCCACAACCAGGGACCTGGCCCACAACCCAGGCATGTGCCCTGACTAGGAATTGCACCAGGAGCCTTTCAATTTGTGGGACGATGCCCAACCCACTAAGCCAAACCAGTCAGGGCTCAGTTCAGCTTTTTTATTCAATTTTCTTTCCTACCTCCAAGTTCCAACCACTGAGGTGCCCAAATTCACCTAGAAATCTAATCACCGAAATAAACACAGTCGGTTCAGCTTTTTGATTCAATTTTCTTTCCTACCTCCAAGTTCCAACCACTGAGGTGCCCAAATTCACCTAGAAATCTAATCACCGAAATAAACACAGTCAGTTCAGCTTTTTGATTCAATTTTCTTTCCTACCTCCAAGTTCCAACCACTGAGGTGCCTAAATACTTAGAAATCAACATTCAACTTAAGTGATTGAAATTGAGAAAATATTCCTCAAATATAGTGAGCACCTACTGTTTGTATATCACCTAGAAATCAACATTCAATTTAGTGACTGAAATTGGGAAAATATTCCTCAAATATTTGAGCTCAAATATAGTGAGCATCTATTGTTTGTATAATCAAACATTAAATTCTTTTCACAAAGGAAAAGGCAAAATATAAGAAAAACATAAAACTCACATCTATAGTTTTCTTCCCAGCACTAGCAATGAACATTGATTTGATACTGTTTGGCTTTGTCACCACACTCTTCTTTACATTCCTCTTTTCTTTGTTGCGTGCTTTATCATCTTTTCCTGTTGGAATATAAATTATTTAAAAAGATGCACTGGCAAAAATCAAAATGAAAAAGTAAAAGCCCAGGGGGCTGGGTGGAAGGAGGCAAAGTTGGGGAGGAATGGGGGACATCTGTAATAGTGTCAACGATAATATACGTATACACAAAAAGCAAAAGCCCAGTCACTTGCTCTCTGTAAATGAGAATTTGAGAAGACGTTAAGAATTCAAAATACAAAAATATGAAATTTTATGCAAGGTACACAAGAAAGATCTTTAAAACAAGCTTAATTCAGAAAAAGTTGGGTTGAATGTTATTTCCAAAACTGATGAAATACCAGTAAAATATCTGGATGAGTTATTAAGTGTGACTGTTTAACTGCTATTGTTAGTGTTAACAATAAGCTTTTTAAAAGGTTGGGGGGGTTCTGTTTCTCCCACAGAAATAAAAAGTCAAGTTCACCTGGAAGCAGGGGATTAGCCTAGCAGCCTTCAAGAGATCACCTTTTTAGTACTATACTGAATCTGAGAGGACAACTAAACCGTGGAAAAAAATAGGATTACTAGTTATAATATTGTAGCATCCTAATTTCCATTTTATGAAGAACAGCAACTAGATATACGTGATATGTTGTAGTAACACTAAACTACAGAGACATTTACACAGTAAAGGAAGCTTGTGCCATGTGTTCTCTATGACTAGGTGTTTGTCACCTGTGAACCTTTGTAACACTGTCAATTTTACTCTCTCTTTCTGATTCATCCCAGAGCAGTCTCTATATCAAAAGACCTAGAATGAATAGTTAATATAGTGTGATATAGAGCATATGAATACACAGACCAGATGAAACAGAAAGAAGAGTCCAAAAAAAGACGCAGTTTCTTATGGAAATTTAGCATACAATAAAGATGGCATCTCATATTACTGGGGACAAGATGGATTTTTTTAGTAAGTAGTGCTGGCTCCCATTTGTAAAGCAATCAGCATAAATACCAAATAGATCGCAGATCAGATCAAAATTTTAAAACAAAACTATATATAAGTGCTTTAATAAAAAAGGCAAATTCCTTTATAACCTGGGTGTGGGCAAAGTCTTCCTAACTATGATTCAAAATCCATTTGCCAAAAAAAAAAAAAAGATTAGTAAATTAAAACACCACAAACAAGTTTAAATACAAAAGAGGAGAAAATTTTTACAATATTTCACAGATAAAGGATCAATTTCCCTGATATTAAAAAAAAAAAAAGCCCCAAACCCCAAAAGGAATGTGGGTAATCAATACAAACATATGATTCACATAAAAATACAGGCACATCTCATTTTATTGAGCTTCTTTACACTTCACAGATGTTGCATTTTTTACAAACTGAAGGCAAGACCTATCCATAAGCAAAATGATTACAACTCACTTTATTGCGATGCTCGCTTTTTTGTGGTGGTCTGGAATAGAACCCGCAGTACCTCTGAGGTCTGCTTGTTTATAGAAACAGCTATTGAGTTTTAGGAACTGATACCCAGCTTCATGTGCAAAAGAAATGCAAATGAAAACCACAATGAGATGCTGTTTCTCCCATATGAGAATGGCAAAACTTTAAAAGCTTGACAACACACTCTGTTGGTGAGGCCATGGGATCTAAACAGACACTTATACACTGTTAATGGGAGTGTAAAATGGGACAATCCCTATGGAGAAGAATTTGTCAATGTCTCATAAAACTTCATGTGCATTTACTTTCTGAGCCAGTAATCCCACTACCAGGAATTTTCCCTGAGGAAAACACCATTTGCACAGAGTTATTCAATGCGGTATTATTTGTAATAGCAAATTATTGAAAATGGAATTGAAAATGTCCATTCAAGGAATCCATTTGAATAAGCCAGGGTACATCCATACAATGGAATCCTATGCAGCTATATAAAAATAAAATAAGAAAGACTTTCCCTGTCCAGTCCAATCTACTAACTTACAGCTGATAAAACTACTGTGCAGAGAGGTGATGGGACTCATTCAAGGCGACACAGACAGTTAACAACATAGCCAGGACTCTAACAGGCCTGCTCAGTTCAGGGAGAAGAGAAAGCACCTGGGCTCATTTCATTTCATTCCCTTCGTCACAGACTCACAAAATCTAGGAATACACAATTAGCCTCACTGCTACCAAATGGTACCTATGTGTAGAGCTACATGGGTTGGCAGAAACCAGGAAGATGGTTCACATATTCTAATTTAAGTCATGAATGAATAAATAAATAACATCACACATGAGGAAAAACGCACACATTCTTATTTTCTGTAAAAGGAAACACAGGAAGGATAATCAAAAACTATTAAAGATAGTTGGTTACCTGTGGAGATGGGTAGAAACAAAGTAGAAAGCATTGGAATGAGAGTAAGATCTTAGCTTACTCTCTTGATACCATTCTTATTTTTAAAATCATAAAAATGTTTCACGATATTCTAAAGTAAAATTAGCTCTGACTGGTGTGGCTCAGCTGGTTGGGTGCCATTCTTCAGACCCAAAGGTCACCGGTTCAATTCCCACCCAGGGCACATGCCTGAGTTGTGGGCCAGGTCCCAGTTGTGGGCATGTTCAAGAGGCAACCAATCAATGCTTCTCTCTCACCATCAATGTTTTTCTCCCGCTCTCTCTCGCTCCCTTCCCCTCTGTGTAAAAATTAAAAAATCTTTAAAAAAAAAACAATGAATGCATAAATAAGTAGAACAAACCAATGTTTCTTTCTCCCTCCCTCTAAAATCAATAAAAGTTTTTTAAAGAATTGAGCAGAACCAACCGAATCTTGTTATTTAAAAAAATAAATAAAAATCTAAATTTGAATACAATCAAAATGAACCTGAATAGTAAACTGATAATACAGCACATACAAAAAAATTCATACACCTTTTGAACATAATACTCTGACTACACTAACTTAGTAGGATATATGCCAAGAACAAATAAAACTTCAAATAAATTATAAACTCTCAGAAAGGTTGTTGGTAGAAGTACTGGATTAGTGATTCTAAAATTTCTAATATTATTTTGTATTCATTTCAGAAGATGGGTTTTCACTAAGCATGAAGGTATATACAAAAACAGAATTGGGAAAGATGAAGAAACACCCTGTGGGGTTGGGTTTCAATAAAATGTATCAGTGTGGACCCACGACACACACAGGTAACAAATCTTCTAGTTCTGTTCACTGAAAGGACCCAGAAACCATTATACTGCAGTAGCAATGAGTACATTCATCCCCCATATCTGAATGCCATTCTCCACTAAAAGGAGCCATGATTCTTCAGGGAAGTGATTAATTCCACATCTGAGACAGGAATAACACAAGGAGAACACTGACCATCTTGTTCACCAGAAAGCAAGGAAATGTTCAAAGACCAATAGGGCCACGTCAAAAGGACTTGGGAGCCTGCTCAATGGGGATCCCATTGCCAAATCTGGGATAACTTGAACATCAAAAAACATGATGATAATAGATATTGAACTATAACAGTAGTTTATTGAAATCCATGAGTGTGAAGTGATCATTTTAAATTTTTTAGAGAAACAAAAACATCAATTTTTTGTTCCACTTATTTCTGCTTTCAATTGGTTGCTTCTTGTAAGTGCGTGCCCTGACTAGAGACTGAACCGGCACCCTTGGCATATTGGGACAATGCTCTAACAAACAAAGCTACCCAGCCAGGGCTGAAGTGATCATTTTAAAAACGGAAAGAAAGGATCATCAATAGATGCTGGGTGAAAGTTGGTGGGCAAAAAGGATATACACATGGTCTCAAATTATCACCCCATATCTACACCAATTACGAAGGTAGAAAAGTAGCTTTACAAGGAAGAGATCTGACAAACATCATCTTAACCAAGAGATCAAACTTAGTATCACCAATAATGGGAGAAACTGACACTATGTGCCCTCATATAATTGATAGGAAAGATACAACTTCATCTATGCTATATTTTTGCCAAAATATTTAAACTGTCTCCAAGCACAAAGAAGAAATCATGCAAATCCCAGATTGTGGAACATTCAACAAAACCACCAGCCTGGTCCCATTAAAAATGTCATAAAAGCAAAAAAGAAGGCAGCGGGGGGAAGAAGGGAGGGATAGTACTGTTCTACACTAAATAAAACTAAAGAGACATGAAAACTAAAGTGGGCTCTGCATTTTAAAAAATAGCTATGAAAGACATTATATATGGGGAAATCTTACTATGGGCAGTATAGTAGATAGTATCATGAGAATGGTATTGTGGCTAAGTAGACAAGTGTTCTTGTTCTTAGGAGGTCACTGTGGAAGCATGCACAGGTGAAGTGTCATGGCATCTACAACTTACTTTCAATAAATTCACCAAAAATAAAGTCGCCGCATTTTTTGGTTAGGAACAGGGAAAAGAAAGAAAATATTAATCTACAAATTAGGGTCCAGACATTCTGAAAAGGGCAAGATAGCACAGAATTTAGACTTTGCAGCCACATATGTCTCTCTTGCATTGCTGCATATTCTTTGCATCTTTCTCTCTCTCCCTCTCTCTCTCTCTCTCTCACTTGCTCTTTGTTTCTTAAACACTCTTTAAAAACGTAAAAACCAGTCTTAGCTCAAGGGCTACTTGATTTCCTTCTGGAGTAATGAAAATGGGAAATTATGGTGATGGACACACAACTCTCTAAGTATAGTAATTACCACTGAAATGTATATACACTTTAAACTTTATTTATTTTTAGAGAGAGGGGCAGAGAGGTTTGAGAAAGAGAGGAAGAGAAACATTGATTGGTTCTCATACACACCCCAACTGGACATGTTCCCTGACTGGGAATCGAACCAGCGACCTTTTCCTTTGCAGGATGACGCCCAACCAACTGAGCCCACCGGTCAGGGCTATATGTACACTTTAAATAGGTAAATTGTATAGCATGTGAATTATATCTCAATAAAACTGTTTAAAGGTAAACTGGCTGTGAGTGGGTCATAGTTTGCTGCTAATGAACTAAGCCAAAAAAACAATACTGAAGAGAATTTTCCCTTCTCATCTGATGGGAATTAAATCAGGCTTGTTTACTCAATAAAAAAAAATAGTTTGTCAATGATTGTATAGCTAAGAAAATTTGACACATCCATTCATTGTTATTTTAAATTTAAATTAAGCAAAACAAGTTGATTTTGATTACTCTAAGTTTTAAACCTTGTTGTAGTACTTTACTATTATCAAAGAGGTAAAATTCTAAGTACATCACTTCAGCAGGAATTAAAAGACATCACGTATCAAATTCAGCAATTCTAAAATGACTACAAGACTGAAAATTCCAAAATAAGTGAAACACCAAACTCTTTGAACGACAGAGACATGAAACTTCATTTCCTTGTGGTGATTTTGCTTTTTACATCTAATTTTCTACATAACTGTGCTCCTCTCAGTAATAGAACATTTTCTGTACCTAAAAACAATGGTAGTAGGTCCCCTTCCCTTAAAGAAAACAGTATCTGAGCACCAAGTCTTCTCAAATTTTAAACAGTTCTTTAATGTCAAAATGGCACTCTCTGGAAAACAAAACATAAGTACCTATTTCACGGGACTCAAGGGCATCATCCTCAAGGTCATCGTCAAAAATCTCTCGGCCATCCTCCACGTAGCCGATACCATCTGCAAAAACAAAATGGAATCTCGGGATCAAGTTTTTATAAGTGGCCAATAATATTTTAGCCATGACTAAGCCAAACCAAACCAAACAAAAAAAAAATAACCTTTATACCCACTCAGATGGTCCCCTGGCCTATGCCATTTTTAAGTGCAGCAGAATCCTATTTTTTGTGTGTCAAAGCACAGCATTCGCACAAGTTTTCTGAATCAAAACCAAAGGATATACGTATAGTATGCAGACATCCCTCATTTTATTGTGCTTCGCTTTACTGCACTTCCCCGATGCTGCGTTTTTTACAAATTGAAGGCAAGACCCACACCAGCAAAAAGATTACAGCTCTCTTTATTGCAATACTCAGTTTATTGCAGTAGTCTGAAACCAGACCCACAATCTCTCTTTGTATGCCTGTACCAACCTAGGTCAGCGAGGGAAATGATTTGGCCCACAGGATCAAAGTTCGCCACATACTCTACTCTACGGTAGTTTTACTCTACCAGAAGAATAACACATAAAAGAATGAAGGTCACAAGCCCAGAAAAGCACCTCAGTCTATGAGGGAAAGCTGACAATATAGCGGAATCCAATTACAGAAGTAGAAACATAAATGTAGTCACAGTTGCAGTCTGTACCGCCTCCCAGCGGCCAGCATTCACATGCCCAAGAAGTCACAACATACCAGCAGGAACCTCAAGCTTTCTACAAGGGGCATAAGAACACACGGCCCACCCTCTGCGTGGTGCTTTCCGCTGCCCATGGTAGCTCTCACACACACAGCCTCGTGTAACCCGCACAGCCGTTCTGTGAGCAAGGCAGTTTTCTTATCATGTACTGTACCAGATACTGTACCAGGACATGGCTCCTCCCAGTTTATCCTGAGTAATGTGCCTGGATTCTCCAAAATGTCCCCAAACACACTTTCTATTGTTCTGCATCCACACCCTCAAATACAGTATTTGAGGACAACCCAAAGCAACGTTATGTTCTGAACAGAGCCTTACATCTGCCCGTGCAGAGGAGTAGGAAATGCAACTAAGACACTGTCGGGCAGGCAGTTTCTTCCCACGTACCGTCATCCACAATCCAGTCGTCATCCTGGCGTGCCTGCACCAGCTTCGAATACTGTTCTTCATCCACCTCTTCATAAACACTTGTGAAGTCCTCAACCTGCCATCACACAAGTTTGAGAAAGCTTCAAATGGAGTGAAAGTGTTAAACAATTCTGATGAAAAAAAAAATTTGTCAAAATTGAAACTGGAATGGCAGCCTGAAGGAGTAGCTGCAACCAAATCATGAGTTCTGACATTCAACACCACTGCAGGGTTTTCCTGAAATAGACATCAATTAGCTTAGTACTCCTTTTAGGTGGGTGTTAACATAAGATATTAAATGATTCCATTAGCATAATACACTTGTCACACCATCAATTACTCATCTACTTCATAAAAAACAAACTGAATTATAGCCAATTCTTCATTAGCTGCTTTGGGGATTATTCACTTATAATTTCTAGACTGGTTTCTCCTGTACTTAGCAAAGCTGTAAGGCACGTCACCTCCCTCTCCACTAGCTGATGTTGCCCCATGAATAAATGATCATTTTAATAACTGTTCAACCAACCAAATATAATTCAAAAGGAAAAACCCTCACCCCTCCATCACCCTCCAAAAGTTAGAAAACCATACTCTACAGTCCTCAGATACACTAGAAATGCTTTCTGAGTGATCTCTATTTGAATTGCCACTGATCCCCCACCATTCGCAGGTCTTGAGACTGCAGAGAGACAAACGCTGGGCTACTGGAAGCAACCTAAGTGTCCACCAATAAACAAATGGATAAACAGGTGGTCTATGTATACAATGGAATATTACTCAGCAATAAAAAAAAAAAGAAATCCTGCCATTTGGGACATTGATGGCCTTGAGGGTGTTCATGTTAGGTGAAATAAGTTAGACAGAGAAAGACAAATACCATGATTTCACTTACGTGTAGAATCTAAAAAACAAAACAAAACCAGACTCATAGATACAGAGAACAGGCTGATGGTTGCCAGGTTGGGGGTGGGCGGCAAAATGGGAGAAGTGAACCAAGAGGTACAAACTTCCAGATATAAAATAAGTCAGTCATGGGGATGTAGTGTACAGTATAGGGGATATAAGCAGCAATATGGTATCAACTTTGTATGGTGACAAATTCAAACAGGGGATCGTTCAAAATGTACACTACAGGCACTTTCTGGTGCACCTGTAGAATAAGTGTTTTGCTAACTTTTAGAGAGGTATAGAGGAGGGATATTTTTCCTTTTGAATTATATTTAGTTGAACAGTTATTAGACTTACTGTGGTGATCATTTTGTAATGTCTATAAAGTCGAATCACTATGCTGTACACCTGAAACTAACAAATACTGTGTAATAATTATACTTCAATTTTAAAAAAAGCACTGAGATACTTGGAGAGCAAGTTCAGAGAGTGGCAAATCCTCCAATCACACAGGCTCTCTGGCTGCCAGAGGGCCTGAGCACTGTGAATTATTGGCATGAATAGAAGAGACCCCCTCAGCACAGTTCAAGCAACAGATCAGATACACAGCATTGATGCAGCTGCCATGGAGACAGGCCATTGACTTCCCAGATGAGAATTTGGTGGGCTGGTTAGCAAGAACTCAGAGGTCTCTAAAAATATCCCCCCTTCTCTCACCCTGGCTCATGTGGCTCAGTGGACTGACTGCCGGTCCCTGGTTCGATCCCCAGTCTAGAGCACATGCCTGGGTTGCAGGCCAGGTGCTGAGAAGGAGGCTTACAAGAAGCAACACACACTGATGTTTCTCTCCCTCCTCTTTCTCCCTCCCTTCCCCTCTCTAAAAATAAATAAAATCTTTAAAAAAAAATAATAAAATCCTCCCCCACCTCTCAAGAATTCTGCCTCATCAAGTAGGGGTGGAGGAAACTACTAACTCTGCCAGAAGAGCTAAAACACTAGGGGAAAAAACACTCGGACAACAAGCTTTGAGAGCACAATGGGCGGAGCTAGCTGCATTTCTGCCACACTTAAAGGCTTATAATACTTACAGGACTAGGCTGAGTTTTCACCTCCTGTTTAATCTACCCTATGAGGATCACTGGCAAATACTGATTTGGCCTAACACCATTTGATAATAGAAACTACCTGTGCTACCAAATTAAGTTTTTGACAAAGTAGTCCAATTAATATTACTGTACTGACCAATTTGGTTTTTTCGTGGAGAAAGATCATTTTTGTTGAAGTCTATGAGGCATATTTTGTCTCCTATTTAAGCAACTCACTTATATACTATCACAAAGATACTAGAAAACTATTCTTAAAAATCCTTTTGAGTAAAAAGTCATTTCGACTTCATTTCTAAAAATGTTGCTACTGCTCAGCATGAACTCTTAGAGTCATGCAATTAACATCAACGATTAAAGGGAAATCAGTTGTACTGTGTCAATATCTGAAATGCCCCACAGAGCTCCTTTATAGAAGTGCCCACATTAAAAATGCTTTACTTCCGCTTTACTATAATCCTTTTAGTAGCCCTTTCGGATCTGGTTGACTCACTTAACTTGAATGGATGATGCCAAAAGACAAAAATCCTCTTATGCTTGCTTAGTTGCCCAGTACGGTATAGGCCATGGTTACACATCACATTCTGAAGCCTGAATTTAAATCAAGGCTTTGCCACTGTGACCTCAGATATCCCAGCTGCAAAATGCTGTTAATCATGGCATCTAACTTAATATGGTCGTAGGAAAATTAAGTAAATGAATATATTTGTAAAAACACTTAGAATAGTGTTACCAAAAAAAAAAAAGTACATCAGTTGTTTTTTCTAAAAGTAATTAATCACTTTCTGGCCCTGAGGCAGTTAAGATACTCAGCGAACATGCTAAAGGTGAAGCCAGACAATGTTGGACAGATAGTAGCCACTCTGTTTTTACCTACAGACCATAAACAGTGGGAAAACAGCCACAATGTCATGACACTTAATCTTAATCAGGGCACGGCAGTAATAAGGTCCAATATTGCCACTCTCACAAATGAAATTAAGAAAAACAATTCTCTCCAAAGATAAGTAGCGCTTAGCTAGACTGCTCAATACCTTAAGAGTGAAGCAAAAGCATCTTTAAGGTCCTCCAAGAAAGTCATGAGACTTAGCAGAGATGTGGTGTGCTTACTAAGGAAAAAAACACATACAGCTACTTTCATTTCAGAATTGTGAAAGCATCTATGAAGGGTTTCAGGAACTTTTAAGTGTCAAGTGATGTCTATAATCTGTAGATCTACCTCAAGACCTTGCTTGTTAAATATTAAGAAATTATTATCACAACAAACTTGAAACATATGCAAAGGTGAATTCACATGTTACAGGCTATGAATTAGGTGAAGCACAGGAGAGAAAAAAAATGGTACTTACTTCATATTTATACTTCTCACCAGCTTTAGCCTTTTTCAGTCTTTCTAGAGCTTCCTGGCGCCCTTTCTTTGCTTTCTTTTCTCGTCGGGATCGAGAAGCTACAAAACTTCCTGAATCTGACACAGCTGGGAAAAAAAAGCCACCATGAGATGTTACAAAATTGTCAGCCATCTTTCCTCAAAAATAAAAAAATGCTTCTAGCCAATAGTAACCCACAGTTTCAATATTATACAAACGGATAATGTAAATAGTTCAAAGTTCACTGCCGAATCTGCAGCTCCTATGACTCTTCAGAAATTTTCTCTTGAGATAGTTGAAACTGAACCATTATTTCTTTCCTCCAAAAAGAGAAAAAAATGCCAGATTGAACTCTTGTCTCCTAGAGACATTAGAGAACAGAGATCAGCTGTTAGTCCATATCCTTTCCACTGGAAATGAGGGGCCTAGTAGAGTTATAAAAGAGCTGCACTCTATTAATCAACATTTAACCCACTTTAAGGAGCACCTGCTCTTTGCAAAGTACTAGGTGCTCTGAGAGACACAAAGATCAAAAAGATACTCAGAGATCCCCATACTCAGAGAATTAAAAATCTAAAATGGGAGGTAAGTAGCAATTAACCCTAAAACAATCTTTAGAGATTCAGATAAACTACCCAGAATGTCAAAGGAGGGATAAATTGGGGGTTGGGAGAATTTAACAAAGATAACTGTAAGATTCTTGATTCCTTCACTGATTTCCAGGCCTCACTTACTTGGTTATGACATTATATGATGATAATGACAAATTACAACAGTTGTTTTGTCAAAAATTACTGAAATACCAAAGAGCTTCCGTGTTCATTCACTCAGCTTTTGAATTATTCGTGCTTTTGGTCATTATAAACTGACCACGTCACACACATACTGAAAAATTTCATCCACAGAATTAAGACCTTCGTATACCAAGCTGATGAATAACCAAGTCAAGCGAGACAGTGCCGCCTGCCAGCCATGAGTTTAGGTTCAGCATGTTTGCCATCTATGCCTGTGAAACTGGGTATGTTACTGTATTTGGTGCTAATTATTTTATAAAAAGGAGTAGGCACAGAAAAGGAAAAGTATTGATAAGAGGCACCCTAAAAGCTCCAACCCCACTGCAAAATTCGTAACAACATTAAGCGGTTGGACTAAGTGTTTGACTGAAATAGAAGGTGCAATTTAAAGAACACGTACCAAATGCTGGTAATAAACTATGAAAAACTGTAGCTCAAAGTGAAGCATAATTAGAGATCTTATTTCTTCTAGCTTCCTGGAAATGGAATCTCTTTGTAACATCGCAGTCTATTGTTTGACTTTCACATTTGACTTTTAAATCCATTTTCAGAAAGGCATTAAGTAAAAATTAAGGAATGCAGGTACTTAATGATGACAGTCACAAAATCTTGGGTGTCACTCAAATATTTCAAAAAATCATAAGAAGATCTGTATGAGATGGTTTCAGAGATTACTAAACATGACCACTACGAATGAAAAGTAGGCCTCAGCGTGTTCCCTTCAAGACTCTCTTGACTCCTCTAGATTAATCTGACAAAATCTATAGTTTACAAATAAGACTTGCTCCACAGGCAACAACGTGCCACTCTACAGGGTTTACGGTGCAATTACAAATATGAAAGGATTGCCTGTTCTCCAAGGGCTCAGAGTCAAGTAAAGCAAAAGGACTTGAGGCTCCCACCATCATATAAACAGGGAGTCATGTAAGAGGTAAGAATGCGGTACTGAGGAAACGTAGAAAAGAGAAGCTGTTAATTTTGCCTGGGAAATCAGGGAAGGGTTCACAGGAAAAGTTTTCCAGCACAGACCCAAAAAGAGGAGTGGAATTTCACTATCAGAGTATAGGGTAAAAAGTCGTGCAAGCAGAGGAAAAGGCATGAGCCAAATTACAAAAGGATGACAGTGCAAGGTATATTCAGAAACCAAATGAACATCAGTGTGGAAGGTAAGACATGAGAGTGTAGAGTGAGTGGGAGAACGGGAGATTTAGCAGCACCACGCAGCCCTGCCACTTACTGGTCAACAGGAGACCACCCGCTGCCCTCTCTGAGCTGCAGTGGCCAGCTGTCTTACTGCTGTTTAAGCTGCCCGGCATCTGAACCTGTTTATGAAACTTCCCTCATACAAGTCTTGATGGGACACAGAGGCCATGTCCTACTGCAGAAGCTGAAAAGGCAGATGCTCTTTCCCAGACAGCCCTGCAGCTAGGGCACGGGCATATAAAACAGGCGCTACCAATTAGGAACACCTGTTCAGACTTTAAATCAGAAGCTAGTGTCAAAAGGAAAGGGGGTGGGCTAAGGAAAGACAGTGTAAGTAACAACAGCTGCAGGATTAAGGACCTGGGCAACAGTCTCAGCACTGCTAACTGGAGCTGTAACATCAAACTGCAATGGTAAGGAGCAATAACCTCAAGTACTTGCCCATGGTTAGCAACGACCTCCTCTCACTGGACCAGCTTTGTGACGCAACTTCAATCACTATTCCTGGCTAAGAAGCCCCCAGGCGGACTCTCCAGTCCTCCTGGAGTTTCTGTGAACAACACAATATCCTAATAAATTCCTTTCTGTTTAAATTAGCTAGACTTCATGAATGGAAAATAACTGGCAACAACTTGTTGTGTTCTTTCTTTTTTGTTTGTATTGTTTCTTTTTTTATTTTTCAGTGGTCAATAAAATTATAAAATTATTTAAAAAATTAGCTAGAGTTGGTTGCTCTAGCTTACCCTAAAGACTCAGACTAATGCAGAGCCTCAGGGTCCTCATCTGTGAAATGGGGATAATCAGGTCTGCTTCATAAAGTTAAGGATTAAATGAAGATGCTTGGCTTTGTACTTAGCAATATAAGAGCAGCTCATTTACTGTTTGTGTGTCTATAGATCCAGGGCAGTCACACATACACAACGCACCCAGCAGTACCATGGTCTAGTATCTAGAAAACAAAAATAAAACAAAGCAGTTTTCTCAGGGAAGCCTCAATATGGTACTGCATATAATTAGGTGTTTACGATCTCAACTCCATGAAGTCAAAATGCACATCCAGCTTACCTACCACTCTACCACCAGAGCCTGGCAGAAAATCTTTGCCTAGTGGGTACATAATAAATATTTGCTGAACGAACAAATGAATGAACTACTGTACCTGCTTTATTTAATCATTAAATTCTCCCTGATCCCTTTTCATACATAACAGCTAGTTACAGACCTTTCAACTTTTCATTGCCATTGTCGAGGTACCTCACCTAATACTTAAGGAGGAAAAAAGGCCTAGGTTTTCCTTTTTGGAATGTCTCCAAAGCTTCACATAGTAAGTTAGCAAAAAAGAATAAGCATGGAAAAAAAATCCAGTTACAAAAGTTTAAATATTTGGTTCAAAATTACCACCTGAAGTATCACCATCCTCCCCAAAAGCAGACAGACACTAGCCTGCCACAGTCTCTCAGGTACCAATCCTTAGTCTCCTTTGCCTGCTTGCTCTAAAGGAAAAATTCCACTCACAAGTCTCCAGCAACACTTAACACCATGCCTTAAGAGGGGTCTCAAGATTGCACATTATCCTCCAAAGAGTGATTTCTTGATGCTCACAGATGTTGTACAGTTTCCAGTGTGAAAAGACAGCTCAGTGGCAAATCACTGATGTAGGGCTGCAAAGACCGTTCACATACTCACACCCTACATCCCATTTGTAATCCAGGCTAGTCGACTCTCCAAAGAGTCATAAAAGACGAAAGGCTAGAAGAATAAATTGGAATCTCTGCTTCACAACTAGGTGAACGTGAAGGAAGCTGATTAGGTAGCAAGTTCTCGTTAATGGTGATGCATTTAAGTGACAGGAGATGTGATGCTACAGCTAAGAAAGGGAAGCATCCGATTTTAAGTTAGAAATTCACTTAAGTCACACTTTAGTTGAACACTGTTCAAACAATCAGAAATCAGACAAAGCCATTTGCATTTCTGTATTCTATTTTTGGAAATAAAAGATTACCAGTGAAAAAGGAGGGATGCAAGACATCTGAAATGCTGCTGAACTGATAGTTTTTTAAAGCTTCACCAGAGATGACTACTACATTGTGAACACTATTTCTATGCAATACTTGAAGAACTTTTCATAGAATTTGAAAGAAAAATTGTTAAGGCATAAAGTACAAACCCAGCATCTAACAAGACAAAATGCATCCATACCTTCTGGTGACAGCTCGTAAAACAATTTTCTGGGAAGTTTCTTTAAAGGGGATGACATACAGCCTAGCCCTCAAGCGCATACTTTGAGTGGCAGTAGTGAAATGCCTTCAGTCAAAACTGTGTCCCGCCGGGCACAGTCTTGATAAAGGTGTGCTCGGCATGTGCAACATGACTCACCAGAAGAAAAAAAGGCAGGAAGGCTAGTGTGGAGACCCGCAGTGACCGAGGTAACGCAGCCTCCCAAACAAAAAGCCCCGCAGGGGGGTTGCCAGGAGCAAACGGCCCTGCAGGAATGACCCGTCCAGTGCCCTAAAAGTCCCCGCCCTGGGCAACCAAGGTCTGCGCCAAACAGACCCGCGGGGCGACCCGGGCGCGCGCCTGCCTGACGAAAAATAAGAGACCCTCTCCCTAGTCCGTACCACCCACAATTATGCCACAATCCCCACATTCCCAACCCGGGATCCCGCGTGGCCCAAGCTCACAGTCGTCGCCGTGCACAGGCGCCATGGTCCCGGAGTCTCTCGATTCCGCGCCAACCAGCCCGAAACTGGAGCGGAGAAAAGACAGGCGCCAGCCTGAAAGCCAATCAGAGGCTCCGGAGTCTGCGGACTTCCGCCCGGAAAGCCCCTGACGTGCAGCGCCGCGCCGTGCTCCGCCCCAGGTCTTCCCGCGGGCTTGCCTGAAGGGACCTGAAATTGACCCTTCAGGGAAAAAAGCTCGTGCCGAGCCGAGGCCGAGGAGAACAGGAAAAAGAAGCGGTCGGGCGCTGGAAAGGAACTGCCTGGAGACTCGCTGCGCAGGCGCACCCCTACCGTAACGGTGTGGGTGCGTTGGTGCAGGGACTCTCTGGTTCTGAGAGATGATTTTCCTGGAAAAGAGACGCGGGCGGGCAGCAGAATGGGCGTGGTTGGACCGGTTTCCCGGTTTCCCAGGAGCCTGGGAAAGCCACTGCCTCCTTCTGGGCACTCTGAGAGTGGCCTGAGAATTTGCTTTTCAGGAGTGTGAACCCAGTCGCTGTGTGATATATATGACCACCATCTTAGCCAAAATACCAAAAGTAGCATCACCAATAGAGGGTAATCAATCATATGCCTCCTGATGTCATGCACTTGGAAAAAGGAACATCACCTGTATAGTCTTCCTGGAAAAAAAATGTTTAACCCGAATCTAACCACGAAGAAATACTTAGATGTATTATTCAAAGTATAAGGCAGTCTATGACATCTGGCCTGGACTCCTGCAAAATGCCAATGTTATGAAAGACAAACAGGGCATTATATTCTTGTGTGTGGTACAAAACATGCAAGGTATGTATCTAATTTATTGTTTAACAAACAATAAGAGATATCTGCATGTATATCTTAACAAGAGAACATAATTAAACCAAAAACTTAGAATGAGAATTAATCATCTTTGAGTACCATTTTATGCAGAAGTAATTTTAGCTATCAAGGCCAAAGTATCTGAATCCTTTTCTCAAACCCACTAACGCATAATGTTTTTCATACCATCCCCTAAACAACATTAGATCCATACCCTCAAGTGATTCAACATGAATTACTGAGCAATGGGCAAGTCTTTTGTGATAACTGAGCCCTGGATCCTAACATAAATATGCAGTGTCACCATGAATAAAACCTGTCCCAAAGGCAAGTAGCTACACTAATTCTTCAGAACCTTCTAAATCAGCAGCCTGAACTCACACTTGGGAATGGAAAACCAGAATTCATCTGGGAATTGTTAAAGGTATTGGAGTAAAGTTAAGAAAGAATTATGAGTTAGAACACTAATCATACAGTCAGCCAATAGTGAATTTTAGCCAAGGATGGCAGCATCAGGGCTTCTTAATTTACATATGGCCATAAAGCTTATAGAATTTAAAGCAGTCGTTCTAAGAAGTTAAGAGCAGTAATTCTCAACTTTGGCTGCAAATTAGAATCATAGGAGCAGTTTTTCAAAGTTCTATTGCCCCTTCCCCAAGACCTATTAAAGCATAACTTCTTAGGATGGGATTCCAATGTGCAGCCAAAGTCAAGAACAAGGGGTCTAGACAAGGAATTGCTAAACCTGTTAGAGTCATCTGCAGGATGACTAACCTGGACATAAATATCAGGTTGAACAATATCAGGTGGTCACATATACCTGGATACACCTCTTTCCATGAAAAAGGAGGGCTCATCTCCCACCTGTTCTAAAGACTTTCACTCTTTAATATCTTAAGGTATTTAGTATTGTAGCTCTCTATGAATTGGATGATATCTGGGTTACCTAAAAGACTTACGTAATGCCAGCACTGCTTCAAAAGATCATCCTGGAAATGAAAGGCATTCAAAAGTGGAGGAGAGGCATGTCCCCTAGATCAGACATTACTAGCTAGATAAGTCTGCTGAAAAGTTATATATGTGTGTATACATCTGATGCCTTCCAGAGTCATATATGTTATCCTTAGATCAAAAACAAAGATTATGTCTTGATTGATCTTCACTTTCATTTGCCTCCATTGGCATAAGTAATCAATGGTTAGCTATACTTGATGACTTACTATGTTAGATCTATACATCTTTAATACAATGGGTAAGTTTTTTAAAATTCCTATCAATATTTACTTTTTTTTACATTTCATAGTCCACCCTACATTTTTAAACTTTTAATTTTGATATAGCTGTAAATTCACATGCAGTTATGAAAAATAATACAGAAAAATTCCATGTACCCTTTACCCAGTGTCTCTCAATGGTAACATCTTGCAAAACTGTAGTACCATATCACAACCAGGATATCGACATTGATACAGTCAAGATACAAGACACTTCCATCTCTAAGGAACCTTTATGCTGCCCTGATACAGCCACACCTGCTCCCCTCCTGCTCGACTCCCTCATCCTGGACCACTGGCATCCACTTACCTGTTCTCTATTTCTATAATCTGCGTATGTAGGTCTTTGCGTGGACATGTTTCATTTCTCTCAGGTTAAGACTTAGGAGTGGAATTGCTGTGTCATCAGGTAAGTATGTGTTTAAATTTAAAATAAACTTCAAAACTGTTTTTCCAAAGTGGCTGTGCTATTTTACATTCCCACCAGCAAAGTATGAGAGATTCAGCTGTTCCGCATCCTCAGCAGTACTATCAGTTTTTGTTTTAATGGTTATGCTAGTGGTTATGTATTAGTATCTCATTATGAGTTTTAACTTCCACTTCCCTGATGACTAATGATGTTGAGTATCTTTTACATGATTATGGGCCATTTGCAACTGTTTTTATTTGTTCTTTGTTTTGCTTTGTTCTTTATAGAGGGGTTTTTTTTTTCACTTCTCTGGTTGTTGTTTTTCAATTACAGTTTACATTCAATATTATTTTGTATTAGTTTCAGGTGCACAGCAAAGTGGTTAGACAGTCATATCCTTTACAAAGTGTCCCCCTGATATTTCAAGTACCCATCTGGCACCCTACATACTTATTACAATATTATTGACTATATTCCCTATGCTATACTTACCACTTCTCTGGTTTTAATGGAGTATTTTATATGATTATATGTTATCTTCTCTCTTGTCATATCATTTAAACTTCTTTTTTAAAAAAACTTTTTTAGTGATTGACCTAGGATTTACAATATACACTTTTGCCCATTTTTTAAAATTGAATTATTTGTCCTATTATTAAATTATAAGGATTTTTATACATCCTAAATAAAAATCTTTATAAAATATGTGTTTTGCAAGTATTTTCTCCCAGTATTTTCACTTACCTTTTCATTTTCGTAACCACATCTTTTGAAGACCAAAGTTATTTTTTATGCAATTCAACTTATACATTTTTTCCTTTATGGTTCATGCTTTGTATGCTATCTAAGAAACTTTTGCCTAATTCAGGGTCACAAAGATTTTCTTCTATGTTTTATTCTAGAAAACTTATGGCTTTTACATTCAGATCCATGATCCATTTCACGTTAATTTTTGTATGTAGTGTAAGATAAGGACTGAGGTTCTTTTTTTACTTACAGATAACCAGTTGTTCTGGTTTCACTTTTTTAAATTTTTAATTATGGTAAAAAAACACACAACGTAAAACTTAGCATCTTAATCATTTTAAGTAGTGTTAAGTACATTCACATTGTTGTACAAATTCTCTCCAGAACTTTTTCATGATCTCAAACTGAAACTCTATGCCCATTAAACAATAACTGCCCCAGTCACTGGCAGCCACTATTCTACTTCCTGTCTTTATGGATTTGACTGTTCTAGGTACCTCAGATAAATGGAATCACATAGAATTTGTGGGTGTGTGTGTTTGTGTGTGACTGGCTTATTTCACTTAGCATAACGTCCTCAAGGTTCATCCATGTTGTAGCATGTGTCAGAATTTCCTTTTTAAGGCTGAAAAATATTTTATTGTATGCTTTTACCACATTCTGTTTATCCATTCATCTATCAAAGAGCACAAGGGTTGCTTACAGCTTTTGGCTATTTTGAAAAATGCTGCAATGAATGGCATGTTCTTTTTAAAGGCTTTTTTTTTTTACCATTGAATTGGCACTTTTATCAAAAATCAATCTATCACATATATGTGGGTCTATTTCTGGATTTTCTATTTTGTTCTATTTATCTATATGTCTATGCTAATGGCATTATCATACTATTTTGAGTACAGTAGCTTTATACTAAGTTTTAAAATCAGGGAGTCTAAGTTTCCAACGTTGTTCTTTTATTTGTTTCAGAATTATTTTGGCTAATTTAAGTCTTTTGCATTTCCACATAATTTTTTAGACTCAGATAGTCAATATCTACCAAAAAGCTTGCTGAAATTTTGACGGGGTTTATATTGAATCTATACACTAATTTGAAGAAAATAGGTCTTTTTAACAATTATGTGTCTTCGAATCTAGGCACACAGTATATTTTTCCCTTTTTGTATGTTTTCTTTCATTTTTTTCAGCAGTCTTTTAAGGTTTCACTGGACATAAGTCCCACATGTTATGTTAAATTTATCCTTAAGTATTTCATGTTTTCATACTGCTTTGAATTGGTATTGTTATTTTAATTTTATTTTCCAATTGTTCGTTGCTACCTAAGATTGTAATGCCAGTCCAAACAGATGACCATTTCTCTCTTCACTCAACTAGGGCAGGTGGCACAACCATGGGAACATAATTTTCTTTCTTTGCCATTTCTGCTGAATTGTCATTTGTGCAGGGAGGAGTCTGGAACACTATCACTGAGCCACCCAACATTTTGTTTACCTTTGGAGCCTGGCACGGAGGAAAGCAAAGCCATTTCTAAATTGGCATCTTGGTTTTAGTTCCAAAACCCTGGAACAAAGTTTCCTAACTACCTACATTTATTTCAAGACATTAGATTTCATTTTCTTAAGTCAAAAGTTTGGAAACATTATATGTTGCTCTTTTTTTGTTGTTTTGTTTTGTTTTTTGTAGAGTTTCACAGGACATCTAAGCATGTTTCTCTTATGATCACCAATTTCTTCAGATACATTATCCACAGTCAGGAATATTTAGAGGTGGAGTTCTTAGAAATCCTTTAACTTGTGGACCCTCCTACAAAATAATTTCTTCACGATTCACAGTTGAAGGTAAAGACTCTCTTTTGTGTTGGCTGGTGAGAAAATGGAAGAGAGGAAAAGGAGAAGAAAGAACAACAAAACAGGTTCTCTGGTCAAGCACAGAAATTTTGCATCATGAAAGGGCTCCTGGAAAACAGCAAAAAGCCAGCAGAAAGATGTAGTGAAAATTACAAAATATATCATAAGCCATGGTTGGGTAGCTCATTTGGTTAGAGCATCATCCCGCTATACCAAGATTACAGGTTGAATACCCAGTCAGGGCACATGTAAGAAGCAACCAATGAATACATAAATATGTGGAACAACAAATTAATGTTTTGTGCCCCCTCTCTAAAAATCAATCAATAAATAACATTTTTAAAACATGATATATATTTATAAATGATATAGTTTTAAAAAAATTTTAAACATTTTTAAAACTATTTGTATCATTTTAAAAACTATATATATATATATATATATATATATATAGTAACATTTTTAATATATATCATGTTCAGTTTTTCTCCAAGTCAGTATCTAGCAATATGTCAGTTTTTCTGTTAGGGAAAAAGCATCGACAAAACCCTAGCAATCCATTAAAATAATTGTTATGGGATGAGGGGAAGAAAACAACTTCTGAGTCACTTGGATTATCACCCTAACATCTTAGAGAAGTTTTTTTAATGGCTCAGTGAATGAATAAATGTATGTCTTTGCTTGGAGCTTGGTTCTTTTAGCATGTTTCTGCAAATTAAAACTCCTGTGTGTCTGAAAAGAAAGCGAGTAAATTCCAGTGGCCCTTGTTCCCTACAGTTCCCTCAACACATCTATTTTCTTTGACACCAACTATTCTCCAGATCCAAACTCCATCCTCAGCATTACTTATCTTCCCCCAGTCCTTTCAGGAGTACCTCCCGCTGTCAAATCAGATTGCTTTGTTTCCTGCTCTTCTCCTATCCACTCAAAGCCAAATTAAACAAGAAGAAAATCATGCAGTTTTGACACCAAATATTTTAATTAACAAAATATTTATTGAGCACTTACTATGTGCCAGGCCCTCTTCTAGGCACTAGGGGTGGCAGCAGTGAAGCCAGGTGCCTGCCCTTTCATTCTCCTGAGATACAGATAATAAACCAATAAACATAACATGCCCCTGGAAGGTAGGTATGAAGTAAGACAAAGCACAGGCAGGGGAAATAGAGGATAAGTTGGAGGTGGTATAATAGATCGTTAAAGACAGGAAAACAGCCACTTTAATGACACTGCATATAATGATCTGTAAATCCATGAAGGCTGGCACTGCTGTAATTGCCTTTATTTTTTCACCTGGTTGAGGGCTTGAGACAAAGTGAATGTTCAATAAAACCTCTGGCCGCAGTAATATGCAAAAGACCTAAACTCTACACTTGAATTTGAACATGGCCCTGAGGAAGAGGCCACGTAGGCCCTGGAAGCAGGCTGAGGACATCTGGGCAGCAAATTCCAAAGTGTTCTGGAAGCAGGAGGTGAGGAGCTCCAGGAGGGGGTCCCCATGGCCACATGGACTCCTCAGAGGAGGAGAGCCAAAACCGGGCCCTCGGAAACATGGCAGCCAAGGCAATGATTCTGGCCATACCCTGCCCACTAGTGAGGTACTAGGAAGGTCAACGGAATGCTGCTGAGGAATTCGTGCATAAGGAGGGTGGTTTTACCAGCCCTGGAGCTGAGGCCTAGTTGACCATCCATGCCTCCCGACGTTGAACACCCCCTGGGCCATGAGAATACTCACCTCACAAATTCCTGTGATGAGGCTGACACAGTTTGCTTCCCCAACAACCCTTTTTTCTCTGAGGGTCAGGGGCTGCAAGGGCCTGCCACAGACTTGTAGAATAGGGGCTGAAATCCAACCCTCCCTCTGCTCACCAAGTGGGGCTGTTTCGGCCCAGAGGAGTACCTTTTTCAGGTTCACACATGGTGCCATAAAGGGTAGCTGAGATCTGTTGTGGGTCTATTTCCAACTCTGTGGGCATGTGTGATGAGGCTCCACCCGCTGACCCCCCTCAGAGCTCCGGAGCGCCCCTTGTGGTAGACCACGGGGAATTGTTCAGAGGGATTCCCTGAGACCCTTTTCGTTCATGAGACTCTAAAGGAGAGAAGACCCCAGAAAACCACCACTAAGTGTTCAGTTAATAAACACCTTCATAATCCAAGGGTAAATGGCTTACTTTATTGACCTGACTAGGTCTGTGATAAGAATACAGTATGTAATTGTATTCGTAGCCCTGTATCAGTTCTATTTACCTGACAGTCAGAATTAATCAAAACCTATTCTCTCAACTTTCTCGTGGTCATGACAAATAATCACCTGCTCTAAGCAGGAATTAACTAAGAAAATAGATTGGCCATGATTCTCCTTTTGAATGTGAGACAGAAGCTTGGAAATATAATCAAATGCACTGTTATTCTAAGAAATGACAACAAGAGGCAATTTCAAAACAAGCCTCTTGTGAACCGTTGGGCCTTCATGACACAAGAGTGATTTTTCCATTACTAAGAAGAGCAAACCAGTGCAAATAGAGGTGGATGATGTCTTCCTGACAGCTGGATCAAGCTTCAGTTTAGTTTCAGAGAAACCTGCCATTCGAGTTGATCTGTGCTGCATCAAGTTAGGGCATCATTTCAATGGATCCAGTGAATCACTCTGGAAGCAATAAAGTACCCAGGACTTGTTTTTTCCCCCTCTTTTAGTTTAGTATCTAGAACCTACTCCTATGGTGTGGCTTACCCTCTGATGGCCCATCCCAGTCTCTTTGTAGGGATGAGCCATAGAGGATAAGAATGAGGATGAGGGAAGTTTCAGGCTCAATTCCCCAGTCAGGACACGTAAAAGAATCAACCAATGAGTGCATAAATGGGTGGAACAACAAAACGAAGAAACGATGTTTCTCTCTCACTCTTCCCCCCTCTCAAATCAATAAATTGAAAAATGTTTTAAAGAACGAGAATGAGTGAAAACCATAGGAATGAAAAAAGAAGAGGTACCTACAAAAATGCTTGGATCTGAAAAGAAGTACTGCAGGGTGAGGGCTATAAGGAACTGTGGGGAGAGGTCTGATACAAATATAGCATCTATTTTCTTGAGTTTCTCTGTCACTTCTAGACACAAGTTGCATGAGGTTTTCTCTCTATTGCCCTCCAAATGCCTTCCATGCTGAGGATTCTCTCCTAATGGTCCTCATATCATTTGGAAAAACAAGTGTATAAGTCCTAGTTAAGCCAGGGAAGAAGGACCACTCTGAGCTGTGGAGAGAGGGATTTATTACAGGAAATAGACCTAAGTACAGGGTCTGGCACAAATAACGCCCGTTTTATTACAAAATCTTTTATTAGAAAATCCTAAGCATGTCATTCTGCAACATAACAATATCACACTCAAGCACACCATAGGACATGATACATGAAATGTTCAAATTAAAACTATAAATTATTACACCCATATCATTACCCTACCAACCACACTCAAGCAGGCCTTACTTCTGCCGGACCCTGTCGAAGCCAATGGGAAGCTGCTCCTACCCCTGTGGGGCTGCACAAATGTCCGATGCTGGGCCTTGGGCTGTTGTTGGTCAACAGGGTCAGCAGCTGGGAAGAAGATCCGGACACAGAGTGAGGGAAAGTGAGGACCAGCTGGGACCCTCTGTTCGTCACCACACTCAGCCACGACAACCTTGGGAAAGTAATGACTGCTGATTCACTCTTGCTTTCCAGATCTTGTGGAAATTCCTCTTTTGGCCAACTCTTGCCCAGAGTCCTAAGGGGAGAAGATCCTTGGAAATACGGTTCCAGCTCACCAACTTGACATACTACACACCACCATGCTAGGGAGCTAGCAATAAATTCACTAACGGAGGCCCCCCAGCAGCTGGGACAGCAGCCATACAGAGAGAGTGCAGGACGGATGGGTGGACGGGAAGGTTGAAGGGATCCTTCCACTGATTAGAGAGCAAGCTTTACCACCCTGGAGTCTGGAATATGTCAGAAAGCAATGGAAGGTTTTCCGGCTAGAACAGGTCGTAGGAAATCTTTACATGGCTAAGGTGAATTTAGAGAGACAGCAGTCTTCTTTCTGAAGCATGGTACTCACGTTAATAGCAGCCAAAGTTCCCATAGCACTTGGCTGCAGCCAGATTTTTAAAACATCTTTTTCTCAGAAAGGACCAAGCACATGCATGTTTAAAGAGTTCTTTTACCACACAGTGTTATCTGAGGAGAAATGACCTCAACGCAAATTGTGAAGATTCTGCATGGTTAAAATGTACACATTCCTTATCAGTGGTGCTTAGAATAGCTCCTTGGAAGAGAAAATGTTTATTAGAATCTAAGTATGCGTGAGAGATTTATTTTCTCGATCTTTATTCTCCGATTTAAATAAAGTGCTGAGTTGTATATTAATACTTCAAGGTCTCAACCACTTTTTATCGTGGAAAAAAAGAGAGAGAGAAAAAATGTTTGTCATTCCAGGAGCATAATCAGTTGAGGCGGCACACAAGGACATAGTTAATTCACCAACAGAATTTGTTGCCATAGCTCCAGTGAGGGACAGGGTACATTAAACAATGGCCTTTTTCATGAGTCCAGCTTTCACCACAACCTGCCTGTCCCCACACAACAGGCCATCCTAGCGCCAGTCCAGAGCACGGCGATTGTCAAAGAACAACAGCCCAGAAGGGACAAGAGGAAGCTTGTGGTAAATAAAGCAAGAAGCTCCAGCAACTTGGATCTCTGCTTATTCAATCACGAGGACACGGCTAACTCTTCTGAGCCTATCTTTGAGCCTAACCATTGCTCAAGTGCTCCGGTTAGTCTGGGGAAAGAAAAATTTCACCCTGTGACTCCAAAGAACCCCAAAGAGAGGACGCTGGAGAAGAGGGAAAGCAGGCCAGGAACCGATATGGTGGGCCACCAGGAATGCACCATGGAAGAGAACGTCAGGGACAATTGCACTCCCAAAATCTTACATAAGGTACCGTACATGCTTTCTTATTGATTTTTGCCTCTGAATATCAAAGTGAAGTCCTATGTATCTGTGAGTGTAATGGACCTACACTAATTAACAGAGTCATATGGAAATGAAATTACCTTCTCCATCTTAAGGTGAGACAAAAGAAAAATTATGGCTAATATTTCTTTATCCCCCTTACTGAATATGTAAGTTCCCCAATAGAGTTAGATGACAGGAACAAATTCTCTATCAAAACAAAAACAAAAACACAAGTCAAATCAGGATGAGGCAATGTAGGTAGTTCACAGGGAAGAACGACGCCCCGGGAGCCTGGGGGTGATGGAGAATATTAAGCAAAATACATACATAAAATATACAATTAGAAATTCTCCTGGTAGAAAGGTCACAAAATCCTGATTACATCACCCACTTCTGAATTCTTTGCAATGCAACTAGCACATAAGTGAGACCACCTGGTGTGGTCTTTTATTTATTTTGCTGGGGTGCATAGGGGAATGTGCATTTTGGTGGAGCCTTGTTAAAGCAAATGAGTTCTGGATGGAAAAATTTAGGCAGTGGACAAAATAGTAAGAAGGATTCCAGGTGATGTGAAAAAGTGGTCAGGACCAGAGGAAGCTTCCTAACAATGATGCAATTTCTCTGCTTCATGGTGAAGCTGGTTTCATGCCACTTCCCTTAGAACGGTTTCTCAGGCTTCAGGACACAGGCCCTTCTCTTTTCTGTCCCAGCACTCCTTCAGAACCTCATGACAACCCCTTGGAAAGGCTATAGATGACTGGTTCAAGCACCATGTGCCTCAGAAAAGTAGTCTGGGTCCATATCCACCGGCACTTGAACTACAACTGGTAGACCATTTACCCCAATCAGTCCCTTTCCCATTTGCCTCCATATTATCTCAGATTGGAGAAATTTGTATGGTGAAGACTCATGAGTTTTGTCAGCTCATTTTGTTGAGTTAATGGGGGAATCTGGAGGCATTTTAGTCATTCATTCATTTATTCATTCATACATTCATGCCTTGTTCTAAAAATAGATTTGAAGTGGTATTAAAACAACTAAATTCAGTTTTTGACTGGTGCAGATATGTAAAATTGAAATGGTCTTTCTAGGTCCAGTCATGTAGAATTAAATCTGTGCAAATATTACTACGTACTCCCATACCTTTTGTGAATTGAAAAACAGCCAGTTGCTTCTAAACTCACAGATCTTCCAATATCACCACTTGTCACTTATTATCATAATAAAGGCTGACATTTTTAGTCCTTAGCAGGTGGCATGCCCTGTGCTAAGTACTTTGCATGTCTTATTTTATGTGATTACACTCAACAAAAGTGGTCAAGATCCTAAGTACTATCCTATTCTGTTCATTCATACCTCAGTTTTTCCCAGTTAAATGGGTTCATTGATCCCTCTTGGGCAATCAAGATGAATTACATTCTTAAATGTAACAATAATAAAGAAACATTAACATTTTAATCACGATTTTCAGTTCTCAATATACTTTTCATATATACACTGCCTGCAACTTCTACAAATTGAACTTTCTGACTGCCAGCCCTTATGTGCATTGTCCACTGATACCCCTAAGCTAACACATGACCTTCTCTGGCTATTGCTAATGGTGCCGTTTGCCAGCCAATAGTTATAAGCATTGTGACTAAATATCGTATCTGAATGCTAAGGATAATTATGAGCTTAATCATATCTCTTATCTCTTGAGGAATGCAAACTCCCTTTAAGTGAGAGAGTTGGTTATTCACTTTCCATATATTTAACTTTGGTACTTGATTGGCACTTATTTGGAAATAGGAGACAGCCTGAACATATCTTAATTCCTCTTGCCCCAATTTCTGTGAGGATGATATTATTTATATTCTCATTTTCAAGTAAGAAATTTAAAGTTCACAGAGGTTAGGTAAACTGTCCAAGGGAGTAAGGCTAGAGCTCAAATTCAGGTAACGTAGCCACTAACCACTTATGGCTATTTAAGTTTTAATTAATTAAAATTTAATTTAATTTAAAATTTAGTTCCTCAGTTGTACTAGCCACATCTCAAATGCTCAGTGGCCACATAGCCACCTCATTTGGACAGCTAGACAGCACAGATATAGAATATTCCATCATCGCAGAAACTTCTATTGGATAACACTGCTTTAAGCTGTAATGCCTCCTTTTAGATATGTTGACACGTGTTCTCAAAATACATTGCGATTCTGTTATAAGTAAGGTGGACTTAAAATTTTCCAGTAAAATCTCATTCATTCGAAGTCTCCTCATTTGCATAGCATCAAGTTAACTTTGATCTGCAAATTAATAATATAGATAAGAGTCAAGGAGACGTTAAACGCACTTCAGAGACCCAAGATTTTTAAGCACCATCAAATAATTTCAGAAGCACTCACTTAGATGCAAGCAATTGATATGATAATTACACATCATTTTTATTTATTCATTAAAACAGGGATCCCCTACAGTGCCCTGGTAGAAACTAATGTGGTTAGCCTAGTTCTTTCTAGCAACAATTCTGCTATTTTAAATTATATGTAAAATCATTTTATGCTACTGGTTTACCTTCCTCTGTTTCTTTGGATCGTAAAGTAAATTGGTAGCATTAGATACTTTCACACTGAAATTTTTATGAGCTTAAGATTTAATTGCAAAAGGCCTTTCTTCTACTATCTTCCAGGAAGGAGTGTTTCTGTGGGCAGCCCACAAATCTTGGCTCATAATTTTATACATATTTTTTATTTATTTTTAGAGAGGAGAAGGGAGGGAGAAAGAGAGGGAGAGAAACATCAAGATGTGGTGGCTTCTCACGCGCTCCCTACTGGACACCTGGCCTGCAACCCAGGCATGTGCCCTGGCTGGGAATCGAACCAGTGACCCCTTGGTTCGCAGTCTAGTGCTCAATCCACTGAGCCACACCAGCTGGGGCTGAATGACAGAGATAGTTCTTTCAAGATGCCACTTACTGGAGTGAACTCCAATTTTCTACAGCAAATTCATGGATCAAAATGAAAACTGTCTCCCATTTTTCCTTTTCTCTTTACCAGTCTTTGCTGCAAAAGAGTGAGATAAGGGCTTTCATGCCCCTTCAACACCACCAGTACCAGGCAACCACTAATCTACTTTCTGTTATATGGATTTGCCTATTCTGGACATTTCATATAAATGGAATAATATAATACATGGTCTGGCTTCTTTCACTTAGCATATGTTTTAAAAGTTCATTCATATTATAGCATGCATCAGTACTTCATTCCTTTTAATGGCCAAATAATAGTCCATTGTATGGATATACCACAATTTGTTTCTCCATTCTTCAGTCAATGGACATTTGGGTTGTTTTCACTTGTTGGTTACTGTGAATAATGCTGCTGTAACATTCATGTACAAGGATTTTTGTGGAGTTTTTTTTTGACATATGTTTTCAAGTCTCTCAGGTATATACCTAGGAGTGGAGTTGCTAGGTCAAATAGTAACTCTATTTTAAATTTTTTGAGAAACTTCCAAACTGTTTTCCAAAGAGGCTATGCCATTTTACATTCTCACCAGCAACATGTGGTGACTCCAGATTCTACATATGCTCACCAACACTTATTTTCCATTTTTAAAAATTATAGCTATTCTAGTGGGTATGAAGTTGTATCTCATTGTGGTTTTTGATGTACATTTCCCTAATGGCTATTGATGTTGAGTATTTTTCATGTGTTTACCGGCCATTTGTATGTCTTCTTTGGAGAAATGTCTATTCAAATCCTTTGTCCCTTTTAAATCGTGTTATTTGTCTCAAAAATCCATCTTTGCCCTAAAGCAAGTTTTCTCAACTTTGGCTTTATTGACATTTGGGGCGGGATAATTCTTTGCTGTGGGGTACTTTCCTATGCATTGCAGGATGTTTCGCAGCATCCCTGGTCTCTATCTACCAGATGCCAGTATCAACCCCCTCCCAATTTGTCACAATCAAAACTGTCCAGATACTAAAAAAATCACCTTTGAAAGAGGGGCACAAAACCTCCCCTTGTCAAGAACCACTACTCTGGGTTTTAGTAGGATGCGCTCAGTTGGCACCAGGTATGACCTGTCAGTCTCTACATTCTCTCCTGATGGAAGAGTTTTTCAAGGTGAATATGCTATGAAGGCTGTGGAAAATAGTAGCACAACTATTGGAATCAGATGTAAAGATGGCATTGTCTTTGGGGTAGAAAAATTAGTTCTTTCTAAACTTTATGAAGAAGGTTCCAACAAATGACTTCTTCATGTTGATCAGCATGTTAGAATGGCAATAGCAGGTTTGCTGGCAGATTCTCGTTCTTTAGCAGACATTGCAAGAGAAGAAGCTTCCAACTTTAGATCTAACTTGGGCTGTAACATTTCACTAAAACATGTTGCAGCCAGAGTGGCCATGTATGTACATGTATATACACTCTACAGTGCTGGTAGACTTTTCGATTGCAATTTCAAGTTAGGGTCTTACAGTGTGAATGATGGCACACAACTCTACATGATTGACCCATTGGGTGTTTCATATGGTTATTGGGGATGTGCTATTGGCAAAGCCAGGCAAGACGCAAAGACAGAAATAGGAAAGCTTCAACTGAAAAAAAAATGACCTGCTGTGATGTTGTTAAAGAAATTCCAAAAATAATTTACATAGTATACGATGACGTTAAGGATAAAGCTTTTGAAATGGAGCTCAGCTGGGTTGGTGAAATAACTAAAGAAAGACATGAAATTGTTCCAAAAGATATATGGGAAGAGGCAGAGAAATATGCTAAGGGATCTTTGAAGGAAGAAGATGAATCTGATGATGGGAATATGGAACATTTACTTCAGCATTTATTTTAAATCTCTAATACAGTCCCCATGTAACTATTTAGCCCTTTGGGTTATTACATACCTACTGACCAATTTTCATTAAATTTTTGTCTTGCAATCATTAAAGTTTGCTTAATATCTCTTTGACAAAATTGGTGGGAGTAATTGAACACATATTTACT